ATTTTAAAAATATTCCTTGTAATTGAACTCTTTTTTTTTAGTGTCTACCATATTGATGATTTGTATTTTATGGCTTGTCTTGTTTTTATAAATGTCTCTTTTAGGGTGTTTATTTTTCCTTACTATGGTAAAAACAATATCCTCGAGAAAAGTATAAATGTATATACCTAGAATTTTCATGTACCAAGAAAGGTCACCAAAAAAAAAAAAAAAAAAAAAGCATTAAAAAGAAGAGTTTTAAATAAAGAATTCATAACTCAATAATATTGTCAAATGTTTATATTCTTTTGCATCGCAATAGCTTTTAAGGAAACAATCCTAATTACAGAAGAGATTTTACATAAGATATGGCATTTTTTATAATAGGGAAGATTGGAACTGTGTTCTACAAGGAGGATTGTAGTTTATGCTACATCCATACACTTTAATTTATTTAGTTGTTAACAGATATTTAGAGTTGTAGTTGTTTTTTTAAATTGATTTTAGAGAGAAACATTGATTTGTTGTTCCATTTATTTATGCACTCATTGGTTGATCCTTCTATGTATCCTGACCAGGGATTGAACCTTCAACCTTGGCATTTTGAGATGACACTAACCAACTGAACTACCTAGCCAGAGCAGAGTTATTTCAAAGTATGCTAAGTCATACAGTTTTATCTTGCCTATATTTAAAATACACAAAGACAAAAAAAACCACCAAAATATCAATAGTAATGAACATTAATATGCTTTCCATTAATGTATGTTTATGATCAGAAAGTTGATTATGCTTAGATCCAAGTTTTCTCTCGTTCAATCATCTGCTCAGTCCCCTACAATCTTTACACAAACCCCTGTGCGGTACTTTAAAATACTAGCAGTGACTTTTTTACCTTTATTTTTTTTTTAAAGGTTAACATTCTCATCAATGAAGTACAAAATAAGGTTTTAGAGAAAAGTCTCCCAGCTACTTTCTCTGAGAGATTATGTCTGTGAGATTTTAAGTTCATACTAGAGGCCTGGTGCATTAGGCCTGCTCTGCCCGGGGAACAGGCCTAAGCTGCAGTTCCTCCCTCTGGGAGGCGATGGGACAGCTGGTCAGGGAGCAGTGCTGCCCCAATTACTCTGCTGCTGCTGCTGTGGCCAGCCTCCCTCTGCAGGAGGTGACCAGGTGGCCCCCCACCCTCATGACCCCTCCATTTCCATTGGTTGCTACCACCTACCCTCCCCCCCATTGCCGTCCACTCTCTCTGCCCACTGGCACTTGCTTTGGCTGGTCTGGCACTGCCTGCTCACCGACCGCTCCCCTACAACTGGTTATCCTACCATCCAGTCAATTTGCATAGTATGCTTTTATTTTATAGGACTAGAGGCCTGGTGCATGGATTCATGCATTGGTGGGGGGCACGGCCTGCAGGGATCAGCCCACTGGGAGTGCCACTCATCCCAGTCAGCTGAGTGGCTCTCCCACTGTGGGAGCGCACTGACCACCAGGGGGCAGCTTCTGCATTGACCATCTGCCCCCTGGTGGTCAGTGCACATCATAGCAACTGGTCGTTCTGGTGGTTCCTCCATTCAGTCCCTGGGGTTTTCTAGATAAGAAAGTGAATGTGTGATATATTACATAAACAACACATTCTGTACATTTTTCATACCATAGTGTATCCTGGAAATTATTTCCTTGTTAAGGGCATTTAAGTTTTCTAATTTTTTTCAATCACTTCTTGTGCCTTCTTTCATAAGCCTTTCTGAGTGTTTCAACCTAATGTTTCATTTTTGGGTATCCCCTGATTCTTCTCAAGTCTGCTTTGCAAGATTCCGTCTCTCAGGGTTCCATCCTCAGTCCTTTCCCTGAGTTCCAGCCTCTTCCTACTGTCCATTCTGGTGACTCACAAATATGGAATTTATAATCCAGACTTCCCCTGAACTCTGTACCACATGTTCAGTTCCCTAGGGATCCCATAGGACTTAAACTTTTTATCCCTTTTGTTACTCCTTATACACCTCCCTCAACAAGCTGCTCCTTTCTATTTCCATCAAGCTACATGGTACCCATTTCTCTAAACCAGAACCTCAGTTCTGCTCCATCAGCTATACTCAATAGCTAAGCCTGCAAATTAGAACTCACTTTAACAGACTAGGATGGATAGCTTTGTTGGATAGAACATCATCCTGACCCACCAGAGTTTGTGGGTTTGATCCTCATCAGGGCACATAACAAGAATGCATAACCAATGTATGCATAAATAAATGACCAAATCTATGTTTCTCCCCCTTCCTCTCTAAAAAAATCAAGAACAATTTTTAATAAGAAACACTTGAACATTTTTTTCCCCTCTTTGATTTCTACTCTGCAATTTGATTCAGTAAGCCTGTACACTCACATTTAAAAGCTTTATGGTAGTTTTAAAAAATATATATTTTTATTGATTTCAGAGAGGAGGAGGAGGAGAGAGAAAAAGAGTTAGAAACATCAGTGGTGAGAGAGAATCATCAATCGGCTATCACTAGCTCCTATCCTCATGCCTCCTGCACCCACCTCTCCCAGCCCTCACTGGGGATTGAGCCCACAACTCAGGCATGTGCCCTTGACCAGAATTGAACCCTGGACTCTTCAGTCCTCAGGCCGAGGCCCTAACCACCAAGCTAAAGCAGCTACGGCGCTTTATAGTAGATTTTTTATAAGTCTAGTTAAAGTGGGATTTCATTGGTTGAGAGAAATTGTCTGAAAGGTGATTTTGCCCGAACTGGTTTGGCTCAGTGGACAGAGCGAGCATTGGCCTGCGGGATGAAGGGTCCTAGGTTTGATTCCTGTCAAGGGCATGTACATTGGTTGCAGGCTCATCCCCAGTAGGGGGTGTGCAGGAGGTACCTGATTCTCTATCTTCCCTTCCTCTCTGTAAAAATAAATGAAATCTTTTTTAAAAAAATAAAAGGTGACTTCACCCAGTAAGCTGGGAGGCAAAATGGCTTAAGATTGAATATGGCTAAATCCTCCTTACTTGGCTTTTGGCATATTGGGGTAATTTCATTCTGTATTATCATTTGGATTCTCTGTCAGGTTCAGTCAATAGAAAATCCCCTAAACCAAATGGGCCCATTTTAGTAGCATGGTAGTATACTTCTAAGTGGGTGGTGGCAATAACTTTTTTTTTATATTTTGGATTTTTTGTTGTTGCTTTTTGTTAATCCTCACCCAAGAATACTTTTTCCATTGATTTTTTTTATTTTTTATTTTTTATTTATTTATTTATTTTTTCTAGTGAGAATGGAAGGGAGGGAGAAGGAGATAACAGAGAAACATCAACAGGTTGCCTCCCGCACATACCCCAATCAGGGCCCATTGAGCCTGCAACCAGGTACCTGCCCTTGACCAGGAATCAAACCTGTGACCCTTTGGTCTGCATTCTAACCCCTGAGCAACTGGCTAGGGAGTGTGTGTGTGTGTGTGTTTAATACAAAAGGAATACCTACTAGTAAAAACAAAAACAAAAAAACAAAAAAAAACTTCATCTAGATAATGAATAAAGTAGACAGCATTCCCCTAGTTCCTTTCCTCGGAGTTTACTATGTCCCAAGTACTGCACTACAACAGCTCCATGAGGTATGTAATATTTTTTCCACTTCATAGATGAGGAAACTGAGGCACAGAGAGGTTAAGTGGCTTGCCCAAGGTCACACAGGTTGTATGTGGCAGAGCCAGGCATCTGTATTCATAGTCCAGCTCTCAGTTGACCTCTTAGGTTTTCACATGTGCTGATTTTCATCAGAAGAAGGAAGAATGGCAGAGATGTCTAGAGGAAAGTAGGAAGGAAGGAAAACGGTATAATAGGACTGCATGCATCCTGACTGAAACCAGGGCTTTTGAGTAGGAAATAGGGCAGTGAGAAATAATGGAGAAGCAAAGGAGAAGTGGTGGTGGTGTGGGTATCACAGACTCCATAAATCTGTTTCCTTCTCTGTAAATGGGGAATGATGTGGTGGTGTCAGGAATAACAAGTACAGTCTCGATAAATGATAGCAATTAATAGAATAGGATCCTTGGATTCTGTATGGGAGGATAAAGATCACCAGCTCCTATCCTCATTTTAAAGCTATCAGCATCTCCCATATACATGCTTGATTAATGTTATTAAATTTGGTAGATTCACTGCAAGAATGCCTTTGGCAGTTAAAACTAATTTGCATCACTGTAAATTGATCAGAACGTGTTCAAAATTGCAAGTTTCAGAGACAACCACAGAGCAAGAATGGCAATAAGGATTATTATAGTATTCACACAGTAGACTGTTATTAAATCAGTATTCAAGAATCTTCAGATGTGTTACCCTTAGATGAATTTGAGTTCTGAATTTCAGGATCTCCAAAGAAGGAGATTTTAGGTCTGAAAAAGGAACTTAATTTAATGTCTATCAATTTCTTGCCTGTCATGCTCACATATAACTAAATTGATCTTTATTTTGAATTAAGGCCTTTTGCATCTTGACCCATTCCAAGTGTCAAGATAATCTCAGTAAAGATTAATAATACCACAAGTGGAAATGTAGAGTGCTGCCAACAAACATCTCTTAGTGATCTTTATAGGAAAAGTAAGACTTCCCTATTTTCCTTGTGCCAATCTCTTGGGCCCTGAGATAGACGCAGCCTAAAAGAGCGTGCGGGGTACCTTCACTCTGCATTTGTAGTTTATGCTTACCCTAAGGGAACAGACTTGGAAAGAAATAGGGGAGATACAGTTTCTTCACTTATATCTTATGAAGTGTAGTTTCTGTCTCTGGAAAAGAAAGAGTTCACATCTTTATGCGTGGTGTAACATTCCACCCTTGGTATCTATTAGTATATTGTTACTAAAGGCTTAATCATTTTTCATTTATTTATAACTGTGATCTAAAGGCTGCCCCTATCAGTGGGTGTTTTTGCTGGGTATTTATAGAGGTTTTTTGTGTGTGTGTGTGGGGGGGGGTTTCTGTATGTTTCTGAAAGCTTGTCTTTTCCTTTTTTTTCCTTTGTCATCTATAGGTTCGAGAACTTGTCCTGGACAATTGCAAATCAGATGATGGAAAAATTGAGGGCTTAACAGCTGAATTTGTGAACTTAGAGTTCCTCAGTTTAATAAATGTAAACTTGATTTCAGTTTCAAATCTCCCCAAACTACCAAAATTGAAAAAGGTGAGTGTTTTTTCTTTAACAGTAAAAAGAACCATACTAGGAAGGGAAAAATACATGTTTTACCTGGAAGGAAGCAATTAATGTAGCAGAAAGCACATAGCCTTTGGTACTAGGCATATCTGGGATTGAATTCCAGTTCTATCTTTTCCTTGATGAGTGATCTGCAGGTTACTTAATCCTTGTAAGGCTCAATTTCCTCACCTGTAAACTGGTGATACCACCTGACTTTACAGAATTATGGTGTTTGGAAATAATACATGTTGGATGCTAAATAAATATTAGTTATAAATTTGTTGCTATAATCTTAGATACATTTTGTTCTTAGTATGCTCTGGTTTAGGAAACACAGGTGCCTGTCACTCATGTTTTCTGTTTGTTGATTAAGGATGAGTTTAAGTCATAAAGACTTTTCAGGTTTATAGTCTTTGATAAATCAAACCCATTACATAATTTTAATGACTAAAATGTTAAGATGTGCTGTGACTTACTGTAAGAATCCATTTTAACAAAGTTTCTGTATTTCTGTATCCTAGCTGATGATCTGTTGTTAGCTCTTCATTGGTCTAATTGCAAATCACTATTGCCCTCCAAATCCACACCCTACTTTAAAAAACCATATTTATCTATCACAGAGCTCCAGAATGTCAAAACTGGAAGAAACTTTGATCTTCCAGCCTAGCCCCTTATTTTACAGACACATCAGTAAGTTTAGAAAGATAGAGTAATTTGCCTAAAGCCTCCCACAAAAGTGGTTCATGCTAGAGCCAAAACTAGAATCCATATCTTCTATTCCCTAACACAGTGCCTTTTATTTTTTTAATTTTTTAATTTTTTTTGCATACAGAAAGGTATGTGATTATGTTTAGGTATTCACTTTATTAGGGAATTAATTTTAAACTTTGTCTAAACAAAGATACACATAGAAAGAAATTTGTAATCAAATTTAAACAAAGGTAGGCTGTTCCTGTAGTTTGCTTTTGAGTCCTGAGGGAGGATTGTTTTTTTTTGTTTTAGTACATGAATTAAAACAAGAAATGCTTTTTACTTATTTGCTTTATTTAGGTAATAAATGCTCAGGTACTCCTCATGGGTTTCAGGGTGCCTGGTTTTATCTATCTACATAAACTTGATGCTAGCAGAACCTAGTAGTATGTGTTTTGTGTTCTATTTTCTTAGCATCCTGATACATTTTCTTGAATTATTATGGTCAGTATACTGTCAGAAAGTAAATGTATCAATGACCATCTATATATAGGCATTATCAAATCCTTTTTTTGAAGTCTTATTTTAATTTGTTACTTGTAGAATTAGTGAGGGAGGAATGGAGACATCTATCAAAGGCAGATAGATGTTCTTACAGTTGATGTGGACTTAGTTTTCTTCCTACCCTAGAATGCTTGTTTTATAATACGAAACAGGATCTGAAAGAAATTTGGTGTATAAATGTCACAGGTTTCCTAAATTTACACATTGCCTTTATTTCAAAATAAATATGCCATTAAGTCCTCTGGCGGGATTGCCTTGTTATTTCTGCTCTCTAAGATATTCTTGTTGAAAGGATGTATTACATATATATTGATATTCTGACCAATAAAAATAAGTGTTCTCTTTTTATTTTTTTATTTATTAATATCTCAATAAAAGTAACTCTTGGCTTTGTTGATTACAGACTTATATTTTTAATATCTATATCTATCTATACAAACACACACACACACTTGCATTGATTTTGGAGAAGGGAGAGTGAGAGAGATATAGAAACATGATGAGGGAGAATCATTGATTGGCTGCCTCCTGCATGCCCCTCACTGGGGACTGAGGCCAAAACCTGGGCATATGCCCTGATTGGGAATCAAACTGTGACCTCTTGGTTCATAGGTTGATGCTTAACCACTGAGCCACACTAATTGGGCTTGAACTGTTTTTTAAACTCATTCTTTCAACAACTATTTAAATTTAAAAGTTCCTCTATTCTCATTATTATTTCATTGCATGCTGTAGATGAAATTACATGATGTTTTCATGCTGTTCAAGGTACGCAGCATAGTGCAGAGGGCATGGGTTCTTCTGAAACTAGCCTGCCCAGCTTCAAATCATAGGTTTACCACTGTAACAGCTGTGAGCTCTTTGGCATATTTCACTGTCTCTTTGTATTTCATTTTCTTTGTCAGTGGGGGTAATAATTCTACCTATCCCATTGGTTTATTGTGAGATCAAGTGATCATGTAGTATTTCTAGTGCTTTCTTTAGTATCTGACACTTAAGTACTAAGTAAGGGTTAATATAATTACCGTTGTTGGCATTTAAAAAGCAGATTGATACCAGCTATATGGTCTAAGTTTTCTCATCTGCAAGATGAAGAATTTGAATTAGATGCTCTTTTCATGCTCCAATATCTTTCACTCTGTTATTTCTTGCAGAAGCTCATTTCCTTTATTGGCACACGGTTTGCTGTGTTACTTGACCTGCAGCTAAGAAATTAGAGTAGGTTCTTGTAAAGGCCAGGTTTATGCCTCCAGGGAGTTGGTTGTATTAGCCCCGAAGCTGTTGCCCCACTCCCTTTCCTGAGGTCATGGAACTTCTTTAAGGGTGTGTTTTGGGGCTTATACTCTTCTGGCCTTCAGAGCAAATTCCAGATGTAGAATTCCCCAGTGTGCCTGCGGCTGCACAGGACCACATAGGTTCCAAGTGGGCACCGCAAGCTTTGCTTGGCACACACAGTAAGCTCCTTAAAATGCACGGACCAGTTTCCCTTCCTGGCAAGGATAGCATATTACAATTTCTTAAAGAATTCTAATTTGCTGTGACCCACTTTTTAGGTTAGAAAATGTATTCACTGCTGTTTGGGACCAGTTCTTGAACAAGCTGTATAATTAGCATCTGGTTAAGAAAACACAACACTTCTTATCATATGCTGTCTTTCCTCCCCCAAAATGTTGCTGGAATCCATAAACTACTTCTTTGGGATTAATCAAACGAAATGAACATACAAGTACTGATAAAAACAGAGATTGTTTGGTCTTGGTAAGTATTTAAGAATGTATTTGCTCTTTAGAACACCTTAATGATAAGTGTTTCTCCGTATATTTGTGTTTGTCTTGTGTGCATTTTCTTTCACAGCTAGAGCTCAGTGACAATAGAATCTCTGGATGTTTGGACATGTTGGCAGAAAAACTTCCAAATCTCACACACCTAAATTTAAGTGGAAATAAACTGAAAGATATCAGTACCTTGGAACCTTTGGTAAGTAATTAGGAATTTGGAAACCGAGACTTACTGGTCATTTTCATTTTCATATTTCTTTATAGTAAGGGAAATGATTGGAAATAATTGGGTTACCTGATACTGTGGTGGCTTTCTTCAAAGGGGAATTCTTTTTTTTTTCTTTTTCTTTTAAAATTTCATGTGTTTATGAAATTAAACATTTATTTCCCCCCCCCACCCCCGATTGGCTAGAAAAAACTGTTTATATTGGGTGGCATATCTGAATTTCAGATGGAACAGAAGTCCAAGGACAGTTCCAATAAGTTTTAGATCTCCTAATTCAGGATCTTGGGCACTAGCTGGATCACTGTTGCCCAAAGTTTTTCATGGGAACTCCAAATCCTCTTCAGGCTTTCATATTGGGTTTAAGCCATGGAAAGTTAAGTTTAAGTGTCACGAGTTACAGACTTAATGTGTGACCTTGGGCAAATTGCTTCTTTTCTCTGGGCCTCAGTTTCCTCACTTAGGAGTTCTGGAAATAAAATGACAATGCACTTACTTTGCTTTGTTAGTTGGAGAGCTGTGCTAATGGGGTCCAGCCCATGTGGAAGTTGTGGCCATAAAAGAGCTTTTAGAGCAGGGCTTAATGCAGGGTGTGGGGGAACCCCCCAGCCTCCTCTTTTGGCTGGCACCTGGAAATTTCTAAGAATTCAAGATTGATAAATGACTATTTTACCTAAATGTGGCATTTCATAAATTTGGCATACAGGGAGAATTCCATTTTAATGAGGCTAACTTGGTGTACGTAAAGTCAGTGTTGCAAACATTAACGGGAGAGGGTTACACAGTAGATAGGAATTGTCTTATCAGGATGCAGAAGAACAGAACCCAAGAGGATAAGCCATCCTCTGCTATCCGTCTTTTCTGATGTCACAGTATATTTATAATACTTGGATTTCATATTAGTTGTACAGGATGGTCTATTAACATTTCAAGGGAAGATAAGGTTAAATTATGACTTCTTTCAATAAAGAGGGTTTCCTGTCAGGATTATAGGGTCTTTCTCTCCTAATTAATAGAGGTGTTGTCCAATGTAGACTTAAGAATCTTATACTGAGTCACTTTCTGTGTGTGTTTCATTAAGCGAACTATGTCTAACTCATATTTTTCATAAATGTTGGGAGCCTATTTCCTACCTTTGCTCCGTGTATTTTGCTTCTCTTTTCTGCTGTAGATGGGTACACCTGGACACTCAGGCTCCCTCATTTTTACTGGTTCTAAGTTTTTTCTCCAAGCCGATCCACATTTCCAATGTTTAAACATTGAGTTTTGCTGAATTCAAAGACATTAACTTTGGCCCAGTGTAGCCTCATAAGCCACAAAAGAGAATGACTGTAGAGAAAATCAAGTTTAACAGGAGCACAAAATTCTCCGAGTCAGACACCTACATTAAATCTTTGTGTTAATGACAGGCCTATCAATCCTATCAATCCAGGGTCACTGTGACATAGGAATCCTTTTTTTTTTTTTTTTTTGTCTGGAACAGAATGCCAGGTAGTATCTTCCCATGTTGGATCATTGGCTATTGCCTAATTCTCATAAGAACGTGGGTCCTCTTAAATGTTTCATCAGGAGCCTTTGTCAGTGCCCTAGCATACAGACGCAGAGCAGAAGCAAACATTGTGTGTGGGAGCTGTTTGCTCCGATGTCCTGACCTGGTCAGATACTATAGGGCCCTTTGGTGGCTCTGAAAGTCTCAGTTCCCTGGGATAGTAAAGAATGAGAAATAACCATTGTTTTATCATTGTTAGAGGACCTGCTACGTACCATACACTATAGTGGATGCTTTACGTATGTTACCTCATTAGTAATCTTCAAAGAACATCTCTACAAAGTGGATAGAAGTAGCGTGGCCCTCATTTTACAGAAGAGGAAGCTGAGGCTTGGGGGAGGCTGGATCCCTTGTCCAGAGTCACACACTTGGCTGGCCAGTGAGAGCTGCACTGCTGCACACCCAGGACTTTCTGGAAAAGCCTGGACTCCAGCCCTTCCCTGAACTTGCTTCTCAGATTCCTAGGGGTGCTAGATGGGTCTCCTGAAGTTAGAACTTAGAAAAAAATATAACTGTAGCAGAAGGTGAAAGGGGAAATGTTGATCAATTTTACTTCTGATAGTATTCTTCAGTGGGGAAGAACACCATCCTCATCCTCATTAACCACATAACATTTGAACACCGTCTACATTGAGCCCAGTTCTTACAGCCAATGCAATGATTGTGAATGCCTCTGCTTGCTACAGGGACATTAATCAAGAGACAAAGAAGGCATCATTTCAAACTTCCTTGGACACCTTTTTTAAGAGACCTGAGCCATCCAAACCATCCCCCAAAGCCCTTCTAAATTCTAAGAAGGCAAGCAAAATTATTGTTAATAAAATGTTTAATGTTTATTATGGCTAGCCTTTTAGTATTAGGCCAAATTTATGCTATGATAAAATTTTGTGACTTTTTTTTTTTAGCAGTACTTAAACATTACATTGGGATCCTGAATAATCTGTCTGTAGTGAGTGTATTTGGGATCTTAAAGTGTAATTTTACTACTTGAAACATTTCTAGGATACTGTGGTTATTTGTGGGTTTGTTGTTTACTTTCTTTCACTTAGTTTCTAGCATACTGTTTGGCATGTCCGAATTATAATGGGTCCTTTCTCAAGAAGTAGCCAAAAATATCACAGATTCATAATTTCAGAAAGAGCCGGGATAGCTGATAAAACTAGAGAAAGGCTTGGGCACTGTAGAGCATTAAAGATCAGGAGTTGTATGCATTTTTGTGTATCTTTTCCTAGGGAACACGTTTGAGGAGTACATCGCTCATTCCTTTGATGAATTTTTAGACTGAGCCTCTTTGGGGAAGCTGCCTAAATTTACTGGTTGTATCCTAGCTGGTATAGAGTCAACTGTTTTGTGAAGAAAAAAAGAGTTCCCAGTACGCTATCTAGTTATCTAGGGTGGCATTTCAACATTTTTTTTTCTTTTCCTTGGCAAGAATTCATACCTGGGCTTCTGGAGGCCAGGGCCTGCCCAGTGGGGAACCTAGTCTGAAAGCTGCATGACATAAAAGCAGCTCTAAGAACGGCTGGGGACAGCCTTCTTGAGACCTCAGGGGACTGGCTTACATAAGCACATTATGTGATTCACAAACCCTTGGATCATCATACATTGCTGTTTTGAGGAGTACAGTTTCCTGTTGCTGTAACCCTACTCTGTGTTCCCTGTCTGGCTCTATGTTCCCAAGGGCTGCTCAGTGAGAGTAAAGTCAGTGTGGGAACCTCATCTTTGACTAGGAAGATGAAGATTCTGTATGGCAGCAGTCAGCAACACTTTTTGCTAAAGGGCCCAATAATAGATCATTTAGGCTTGTCAGCCATACAGTCTCTGTCACAATTACTCAGCATCCCCATGGTAGCACAAAAGAAACCATACGTAATGTATAAACAAATGAGTGTGGCTCTGTTTGAATAAAACTTGTTTTACAAAAACAGGCCGTGGGTTGGAATGGGCCAGCAGACAATTTTGCCAAGCCCTGCTTTAGAGCAAAGATTTTTCTAGTCATTTTGTGACTCCCTAGAATTACACAGACACCTCAAGTCCTGAAGACAAGGTTTTGTTTAATCTGCATTTCTTTCTAGGTCCTTGTGAATGTTGAAATAGCTTTCCCAAATAAAGCATCAAAAACTTTAAACATCAACATTTATTTTTTTGCAACTTCTGTCTCACCCTCCCTTCCACTCTCTTAAAAATCAATGGAAAAATATCCTCAGAAGAGGATTAACCAAATATATATATATTGTTCTTTCAAGCCTTTTCTCTTGATTCAGAACCATTAAAAGTTACATTTATGAAGCTATATAGCGTATGCCCTTCCGGGCTTATTGCCCCCATTCTAAAAGGCAGGAGTCTTCATGTTTGTGTTTGCTTTTTTATAAGCTTGCACCCTCTCTTTTCCCAAAGAGGGTTTGCTGTCACTCCTGGTGCTGTCTCCTAACTTGCCTGTAATAATATCTCTGTCCTCCCAACGTCTTAACCCTTAATCAAAACTTAATAGATGTGGGGTTGAAGTACTAATACATTGATGTCATAACAGATGAAGATCTGAGTAAAATACCTGGAAGTTTTCCTATCCACTTTGATTGCTTAGAAAACTTTTCTTGGGCCAAGTTTTTACACCTTAACTCTTTTAGATAAGTGAAATTAAAAGTTCCAGATAAATGAGGTATTCAACAAAGTTTCAAGGTCTGATAACACCAAAAGAATTTACATGGAAAAAGTCTGGTAACAGTGTCAATCGTTTCCCAAAAAATTCAAAAAGAAGAAAAGAGTGTAATGTTTCTTGTTTCTGAAGTTTAAACTCCCTTTCCCTAGCCTGTATTGATTCGTGTCTTTCCAGAAAATGTCTGCATCATTAAATTTTGTGCTTTTTTATATTCTGTTCTCTAGTATTTCACATCTGTGTTCCCAAATAGAAATCTCAAGCACCTTGAGATTGAGTTGATGGGTTGGATGAGTTTTCTGTACTACTGCCCCAGAGCTTTAAAGACTGCTTGCTACCCAGCAAGTTCTTAGTGGGTATTTGATTACTCAAATATTTGAACTTAGTTTTGAACCAAATTTATCAAATGCTCTGATTTGTCTTGTACTGTAAGAAGATCCAGTTTTAATAACTTTTTCCAATTCATATATCTTAAGACTAATGCTGCCAGAAAAAGACAGTTCTTTGAGAAGGGTAGATGTAGAAGGAAAGAACTAGGTACAAATCTAGTGGCCTCTAATATAAAGATTGCAAAGGAGTTGAAATGTTTTCCAAGGCTGAGTGGGTAGTAGCTATTAAATATGAGCCTAGAATTTTTACCTCTTAGGAGATGGGTTTTGTTGCTTAGGTTCCTTTGATTTAGGAAGTGTGTTTTGTAATCCTTCAGAAAAAATTGGAATGTCTGAAAAGCCTGGATCTGTTTAACTGTGAGGTTACCAACCTGAATGACTACCGAGAGAGTGTCTTCAAGCTCTTGCCCCAGCTGACCTACCTGGATGGCTATGACCGAGAGGATCGAGAAGCTTCTGACTCAGATGCCGAGGTGGACGGTGTGGATGAAGAAGAGGATGATGAAGGTGATTAGACATTATATCCGTGAATCTAATTTCTGCTTTCAACGGTCCTGATAATGCTGCTGAATGTTCTTGCTGTTGAGAAAAATAATTTATTATATGCATTCATGTAGGCATTCCATTAAATTTGGAGTTAAAACTTATTATTGGGACATTGAAGCCTTTAAATGATTCCAAATAAAAATGATTTGTTAGCTAATGTCCTGAATTTGAGCCTAGGGATCATAGACTGCTCCATCCCATTGAAGTACTTGTGATTTACAGTTTACTAAAAAGATCATCATTTCATGTCTGCTGTCTTCCTCCTAGCTGTTCCCCTGTTTTGATTACTGCTTACTTATCCTTACAAAACTCGTCTTTGTTAACACTTCCAGGAAGACTTTCCTGATACCCTTGAGATATTAGATTTGTGAACATGCTAGAACATTCCCTTGCTACCTCTTTCGTAGCACCTTTCTCTCTGCTATTCTTGTCCTTTCCAACTATGCTATGATTATTTTCTTGGGTCAGGGATTTTTTCTTTATTCAAAGGACCCAATACTTAATAGGTACTTGGTACATGTTCGTTATACCCAAATATAAATAAAATTGGTTTCCTGCTTATAACATATTATTAGGGTCGAAGAAGATGATAATTTCAAAGTACTATGTGTTAGGTTCCATTTCTCATTAATAAGAGAAATAATCTCTGGCTATAATATGGAATTAGAAGAGGTTTTTTAAAATATATTTTTATTGCCAAAACCGGTTTGGCTCAGTGGTAGAGCGTCGGTCTGCGGACTGAAAGGTCCCTGGTTCGATTCCGGTCAAGGGCATGTGCCTTGGTTGCGGGCACATCCCCGGTGGGGGGTGTGCAAGAGGCAACTGGTCGATGTTTCTCTCTCATCGACGTTTCTGGCTCTCTCTCTCTCTCCCTTCCTCTCTGTAAAAATTCAATAAAATATATATTTTTAAAAAAATATATTTTTTTATTGATTTTTTTTAAATTTTTTTTTTACACAAAGAGGAAGGAAGAGGGACAGAGAGTTAGAAACATTGATGAGAGAGAAACATTGATCAGCTGCCTCCTGCATGCCCCCTACTGGGGATGTACCCACAACCAATGTACATGCCCTTGACCAGAATCGAACTTGGGACCCTTCAGTTTGTAGGCCGACGCTCGATTCTCTGAGCCAAACCAGCCAGGGCTAGAAGATAGTTTTTAATCACTGACATTTGATCAAGGTTTTTTAGATTCACGATTATTTTTAAATATTTCTTTTCTTTAAAATAATACAAAAGACAGAAATGATCAAGAAAAGCAGAGGAGGATAAACATCAGGCAATTTGGTGCCATTTTTGGTGCTATGCTCTGGAAACATCTTTACAGTTTGATTTTGCAGATACAGTTTGAGGTTTGAGATAAGGCAAAAAGAGGTAGGATGGTGTAAGACAAGCATGTCAAACTCATGGACGCGATGCTTGTAAGATGTCACAAAATAGGACATCTCACCTTGTTCCAAATATTTATGCCACTTATTCCCCTCACCACAGGTTTTCAGTTATCCCTAAAAACACTTTGTGCTCCTGTTGTCTGTTGAGGTTCATTTTAAACAGGCTGTGCAAGAGCCTGTAAAGAAAATTCTTTTGGAAGATGGAGGGTTCCTGAGAAGAGCTCAGTCAAGGCAAAAGTATTTGAGCATTTCCTATGTGCCGGACACTGGAGAATAGTTTTGAAAGGAAAAAACACATCATGGTTTCTGTCCTCTTGTAGTTTACTACTAAGAAGAAAATGTTAAATAATCACAGTGAGCAAAGTGTGTGGAAGAACCAGGTGCTTGTGTGAGAGTGAGCTGGGATTTGGAGGTCTGGCTTATCTATCTGCCCAAGGAAGTGAAACTTAACTGAGATCCAAAGGGTGAATCCATGTTAGCCAAACAGAAGAGAAGGAAGAGTGTTCAGAGGCTCAGAGGCAGAATAGAGCACAGCAAGCTCTGGGATCCACAGAGACAGCTGCTTACCTCACCAAATGGAGACAGTATGGAGAGGCCTCACAACTTGTCTCCCAGCTTGTCACGGGGTTGTTAGTGGGCATCTCCCAAGCCCCCCATTTGGGCAGCTTTGTGGTGGTAACTTGCCTCAGAAGAATATTTTTGTTTTGTTTCGTTTCAATTGTAACTTTTTACTGTGGAAAATTTTAGACATAGACAAAGGTAGAAATAATAGTAAAATATTCGTGTTCCCATGACTGAGCTTTAATAGTTGCTGATTCATAACTGATCATGTTTTTTACATACACATTCCTACCCTCTTCCCCCTTCCTTACTTGGAATCAAATGCCAGACACTGTATCACAAGTGTTATAGTGTACATCGAGTCTCCCAGGAGTCCTGGCCTCCAGATGTGATGGGATTCTGTTGGACTAAAGGACTGAGTTACCCAGCTTGGGAGCAAGAAGGGTGACTGGTTCATGGTTTTCCCTGATGTTGGTGTAGTCCATCCTTTGTCCTGTGAACTAACCCATAATTTCTCAACACCTAGCATATGTACCCTCCAGGACATCAAGGGTATTTAATGAGTTCCTTTTGGACTGTTTTCAGAAGTGGAAGATGAGGAGGATGAGGAGGAGGAGGATGGTGATGAAGAAGAATTTGATGATGAAGAGGATGAAGATGAAGACGAAGATGTAGAAGGAGAAGAGGATGAAGATGAAGTCAGTGGAGAGGTCAGTGCAACTCTGCTTCCTATTTAAAATTATTAGAAGTATAGATTCCTTTTTAAGAAAAGGCAAGGAAGGGAAAGAAAAAGGCCTTCTGAAGAAAATATTCGTGTGAATAGGCTAATATCAGTCTGATTAATTTAGCTCTCATAAATCCACCCCCTTTTTATAAATATTAAATGGAATGCTAACTGGACACAGTTCTTGGCTCTGCAAGATAAGTTTTAACCCTTTAACTTTGGGAGGAAACTGAGTTTTCATTCAGTAGGGTGAAAAAACTGGAAACATTGAGAATTGAAGGTATATCTCTTCCTTTGTTGTATTGAAAGGAAGGGTATGTTTACCAAGTCTTGACTTGTTCTTGTATATTCAGCCTAATTCAGCAAATATATGCCTCCTGTATTAAAAGAGCTAGGGATGCAAAGTGAACTAGGGATGTGGTCCTGCCTGGGGTGTATGGCTCACCTGGTTGAGCGTCGTCCCATGTACCAAAAAGGCACAAGTTCGATTTCCAGGCAGAGTACATGCCCAGGTTGTAGGTTCAATCTCCAGTGGCAGGGGTGTGAAGGAGGCAGCTGATCGATGTTTCTCGACCACATCAATATTTCCCTCTCTGCAAAGTAATGAAAACATTATACCCTGCAAGAGCAGATAGGCGAGTTTAATGGAACACCTATGTAATACAATATCTGTAAGGAGTTGAATGCCATAGAAGGACGGGAGAAAGGAGTGACTTAACTTTGACCCTCAAGGAGGTTTGTGAAAACAACCGGCCAGGAAATTTAGTCATCACCAAAAAGATGTTCTTTTTTTTGTACAGAAATAAGGCTGAGCATTTGTATAATCTCATAGGTGTTTAATGAAGTTAAGTTCCTGAAGGAAACATTTTATATAACAACTAGAAGCCCGATGCATGAAGATTCGTGCAAAAGTGGGCTTTCCTTTCTTTCCATGCACGCTGCCCAGAGGCCCGGAGCCCCGGAGCGGCTGGGGTGGTGCGCAATGCCTTTGTTGTCACCATGGCGTCCCACCCCACCCCTGACCACTAGGTGCCTGCAAATGCAAATCAGCCTGCCAACTTTGTTGGGTTAATTTGCATACTTACTCCTGATTAGCTGGTGGGTGTTGTGAAGGTACGGTCAATTAACATGTTATTCTTTTATTAGGTAGTAGATGGTAGTGTAGAAATCTTTGTCCAAAACTGCTTTGAAATTCAAGATTTTTACATAATTTCTTGAATTATTCATTCAAAGTTGTATACTAATTAAGCATGTCTGGCAAAGGAAATACTTGCTTCTGAAAAGCAACTTTTTTTAAAAAAGTATGTTTTTATTGATTTTTAGAGAGAGAGGAAGATAGAAGGATAGAGAGATAAAAATCACCGATCAGCTGCCTTCTGTCTACTGGGATCAAGCCAAAAATCTGAACATAGGCCCTAACCAGAAATCAAACCAGTGACCTCTTGATTCATGGGTCATTGCTCACCACTGAGTCACAACAGTTAGGCAATTTTTATCATTCCAATTTTAGTATATGTGCTGCCGGGAAGAGAAACTAACATATTTCAGTACATCAAAGTAGATAAAAATAATTTTAAAGTTTTCTGATTATATTTATTGGGAAATTTATAGTTTTTGTACTTCTCAACTTGGCAGAATTAATCTAATAATGATAATTGCCATTACTATTCTTTAGGAAGAAGAATTTGGACATGATGGAGAAGTTGATGAAGATGAAGATGATGAGGATGAGGATGAAGATGAAGGTGGGTGTAATGCATGCATTTTGGTTCTCCTCAGCTAAAAATCCGGGGTAGGGGATGGCTGTCCCATTAACTTAGAATTTGCCACAACCACTGAGAAGAAAAAAGATGCCCTTTGTCCTGGTGATCTTCACAGGCACTTGTGTAGCCCCGTCAGAGGTCTACACTGGTGCAGCCCACCTGCTCTATGTAGCAAGCAATTTAGAGTGTCCCTGAGGAGGGAGGCCCAGTTTTCAGCCCCACACTTGAACTGTTTTTAGAACCCATCATTCAGATTATTGCCAGGCATAAGATTTCTGTGTTTTGAATTCTTTCATTTGAAAACGTCTCAGTAATTGGGTCATAATTTTTGCAGAATATATACGTATCACCCTTCCAATTTTATTAGTGTTACTCCTCCACCTTAACCAAAACCAGTGAAATACTCATTGAAAGCACAGATTCTCATGCATATTTAGGTTTCAGAATACCAGGTGGTTTGCTATGCTTTCCATTGGTTTAACATTTTTTTTAGCATCTGCTCTTTGGGTCAGGCACTGGATGGAATTTACAATGATAGAAGAGCAGTTCTTGGGACCTGATTTCTGTCTTCCAGGAGCTTTGACGCAGATTTAGCTAATTTCATTGAAATAGCCATGAATTTTTACTAGTTGAGAAAACAATGATATTTAGGTCTCTGTCTCAAAAACCTGAGGCATCTAGAAATCTCTTTAGTTAATATCAACTTGCTACAATTTGAATCTTGCCATATCTAAGGCTAAATACTGTTATCTCCATTAATCTTCAGAGTAACCCTCCAAGTTAGTATCATTGTGCCCATTTTATAAACAAGGAAACAGGCTAACTCCAAAGTCCTTGATAAGCAAATCTCTCAACAAGTACCAACAAGTGTAAGAAACATTTGCGAGACTGCAACTTAAAATTGAGAAAACTGGTTTAATTTTGTTGTGATATGAGATGCTGCTGTGCATTTTGCCTTCTTGGTTCTGGTCACTATTTATGCTTTTTAAAATTAATACCTCTTAATTAACAACCTGCCTATCAGATTAATCTGGCATCTTTTTTTTTATCATCTCTAAACCATCAAATAATTCATTGTTTTTACCTTTGTTAGCAATAACTTAGGCAAAATGCCTTTCTCAAAGTGAATTGTCTCAAAGTGAATTTTTGTTATTATACAGAGGAGGAAGAAAGCGGGAAAGGTGAAAAGAGGAAGAGAGAAACGGATGATGAAGGAGAAGATGATTAAGAGCCCAAATAACCTGCAAAAAAAAAAGAAAAGAACAGAACTGTTCAGTATTGGTTGGACTGCTCATCATATGGATTTGGTAGCTGTTTAAAAAAAAAAAAAAAAAAAAAAAGGTAGCTGTGATACAAACCCCAGGACACCCACCCACCCAAAGAGCCAAAGAATAGTTCCTGTGACATTCCGCCTTCCTCCATTTAGTCCCTTTTGGAAATTCGCCACCAAGCTTGGGGCTGCACCCCAACAAAATTGTAAGCGTTGTTAGGTTTTCATGTAAGACTCTTGCTGTAGCGTGGATAGCTGTGATTGGTGAGTCAACCAGCTGTGGCTACCAGTTACACCAAGACTGTAACAGCATTTTTACTTTCTGTACAACAAAGAAGCTTTGTAAATAAAATCTTAACATTTTGGGTCTGTTTTTTCATGCCTTTCTGTTCTTTTTAATGACTTTTTTTTTTTTTTTTTTTTTAACATTAGGACATTTTATGTGACAACTGCCAAAAAATATTTTTAAGAATTTCAGTGAAATAAACACATTCCTCTTTGGTAAAGCCTAGTTGTATGCTTACATTTTTAAATTAGACTTTAACTGTAAGTTCATGTTTAAAACACACTGAAGAACTGGTTTCTTTGGCATTTTTATATTAGTGTTTATTGGAGGGAAATGCACAAGTGTGTAGGATCTTTTTGCAATTAAGTCTAATCTTCATTCTTGCTGACCGGAAGTAAATGAAGGAGACTATTCAATACAAAAATAATGTTTGAAGTGCAGTGCTCAGGAGCCCCTGAAAGCAAGTCAAAATAATGTTGGGTTCACATAATAGTTGAATTAAGGAAAAGCTGATAGTATAAAGGAAAAGACCTTCTCCTGCGTCCCAGGAGACCTGAATTCTAGTCCTGACTCCGCTGATTTCCTGTGTTGATCCCTGGATCACCTCCCAGTCTATAAATTTGAGGGGTGTGACCAAGTAGCTTCTGAAGTCCTGCTGCACTGATGGCCGGTGGCCCTCACTGGCAGGAAGATCTGAAGGAAACAATGGGCTTTACACCGAGGCTGGAATGGAAGATTTGACTGAGAAGGTGGGTAGAGGGTGTGCTATCAAAACAGGCATGCTAAGGAGGAATGACATGTGAAAAGTCTTGTGGAAGAGCAAGAGGTAGGCACTGCCTGAGGTCAGCTCAGCTTGTCCGGAAGATGGAAATGTTCTCTATTCTTACAGATCTTACAGGGATTTGGGGGAGGGGTAAGGTATTCTGCAGTCTGTATTTAATAGCAAGTGGAACATTTGAGGATTGTTTTAGCTATAAGCTATTACAATGAGTGGGGATTTTATGAGTAAAAGTAGTATTAAAGGTTGGAATTTGTATCTAGAAAAATTGTAATTTTTATCATTGGAACCCCCAAAATACCTGTTTTAAAATCGAAGTGACTAGTCTTTAGAGTTTGCACTTTGCAAAGGAAACTGAAGAAAATTGGGTTGATTTCTGGCTTAGCAGATACTTTTATTTTACTCAACCACAGGCCTTATCTGCCATTTGACAAACCAACTCATTACGTATAAAGCATTTTCTTATGTAGCCTAAGTGTCATTTTGCAGGTGAAGTCACATAGAAAAAGGAACTTTGGATGATTATTTTCCCTGCTTTCTCAAGTTTATAAAACTTTTCAGTATCTACCAAGAACCTAGGATATGCCAGGGTTGGGCAAGAAGGAGGGCTGTTGGGTTAGGTGCTCAGAGCAGAGAAGAGGACCATGGGGATAATATTTACTAGGACAGAACAAGAGTCCACGAAGTGTTAGGATAATTCAGAGGCTGGAAAGATGGCTTCCAACTAGGATGGCAGAAGTTTCCTAGGAAGGAAAATACTTGAGCTGCACGTGTAAATATGTGTAGAATTTAGAAATAGGAATAGAGAAAAGAGGGAGGAGCATGATCGGAGGTAGGGATGGCTAAGTGTATGCAAATTGGACAGGAGAAAGAATGAAAAGAGGAATGGCAGGTGAGGCTGAAGTAATTTGTGACTTTATGAGAAAGAATCAATTGGCTGCCTCCTACATGCCCCCTAATGGGAATAGAGCCTACATATAGGGCATGTGCCCCAACCAGGAATTGAACTTTGACTTGAGGGTTCATAGGTCACATCTCAACCACAGGTGAGCAGTTGGGAGCCAGCAGTCTTGTGAGAGAGTCCCAGATTGAAGAGGGTGCAAGCTGGGCTGAGGGATACGCCCTCCGCCCCCGTGCATGAATTTTGTGCGCCAGGCCTCTAGTTTGAGTCATAAAATATCTGAGGAGGTTGGGGGCTGTGATGTGCTAGTCCTGACTTGGTCCTTTGTGGTAAGTAGAGGCATCTCTTCCACACAACCTTGCTCCCAGCTAGAGCAACTGCTCTGTCCCTGTGACATTTTCCACCTTCCCTTACCTGTTCTTTAATAATAAAAGCATTGTAATCATTGCTTATTGTAGAGATAGAGAAACTGAGGCACTGGAGAGGGAGGGACAACAGCTGGCTCACCTGGTGAAGTAGGGAAAGGATCTAGGTTGGAAACTACGTGGCCCTGTTTTCAACTTTGTGCTCTTACCAGAATTCACTCCGACAGGAATCCAGGACTCGAGGAGTGACTGACATGTCTCATGGAAATGCAGACATTTATGTAAAAGGTTAGTCCCCCACCCCATCACCAGGATTCCTACCTTACACGTAAGCATAGTACAGGGAGTCACTCCTTTGTATTTCTGGCATTTCTGTTTGGGGTACACTACCCTACTATCAGAGAAAGGTGAGGCAGAACCACAAATATTCTACCCTTACGCTGTGACCTTCCCTCTTCTCCAGCCCTGTCAAGTTGTGCTGACATCAATTTTAATAAGGCTGTTGATACCACTGTGATGACAGTTTGAAAAGGGAGTCAAGTTACCAGCCCTCTTAGGCTCCGGCCAGCCAAACAGTTGCTCTGTAGGAAAACCACCAAGATTACAGCAAGTGTAGAAGTTCTCCCCAGAGCCAATTAGGTCAGCTTCATAATCTCTGAGCATGCATTTTATAACTTGTTCCAGCAGTGTTGGGGAGGGCATAAGGAAAAGAAAATGACCCTAAGAGTGACTCTGATCAAGAGGCTTGACCCCAGGCCAGGAGGGGTTTGGGGTTTGGGGTGTGTGTGTGTGTGTGTGTGTGTGTGTGTGTGTGTGAGAGAGAGAGAGAGAGAGAGAGAGAGAGAGAGAGAGAGAGAGAGAGAGAGAGAGAGAGAGCGAGCGAGCATGGAGTTGTGAAGGAGACTTCTAACAGACTCCAAAGACCTGTGTGAGACTCAGCCTGGCTACTAGCTGGATGTGACCTTTCCGAGTCACTTTTCCTTCTGTGAGCCTTCATTTCCTCCACCAAAAACACAGGGCCCAAGCTAAGTGAGCTTGCAGCTCTGTTCCAGTTGTATAAATCTGAATGGGGTACGCTCCAAGTTCTAACCAGCATCAGGGATGCTGGTAGTTACTCATGCTGTTACTCCAGTTACCCCAGCACCTTCCCGAGGAGCAGGTAAGGGTTTGTGCTGGTGGAAAATGTCCGCTGTGCTTTGGGCTCCATACAGTGGAACGGTTGATCTGTAGCAGGAAACCAGAGAGGAGGCGGCGACAGTTATAGGCAAAAGGTTGGACGAGGGCTGCACCCCCAGGACTGAGGGAATGAGGTGTTTTCCAAAAACTGCAGTAGGAATACTAAAATATTGGTTTTACCAATCACACCAGTCAGTCTTCTGGGAGGTAGCATTCGGCCCGTTTTAGCATGAGCAGGATGTGTATCAGCCACTAGGGGGCACTTCTATTTCAAGTCTGGAAGGAGCAGATGGCCATTTAAGAGGATTCTTTTTTAATCCTCAAACTACCTGCCCCCTAATATTGTGAAATAATACACTATACTCCCCATTTTAGAGATGTGGGGACTGAGGGATTTAGAGGTGAAGTGCCCGAGTCCCAAGTTTCTCTTCTTTGCCCACTGTGCCTCCTTACGCCCTCTGGCTCCTGGCTGCAGACTGATGAGGAAGCCGGTGAACCTGTTCCTCCTCAGTCTCTAAACAAGACCCTGTTTCCAGAGGCCCAGGACAGAGAGAACAGAGTTAGTTTTCAGAGTTGGAACCGTGAAATGCTCAGGGACTGAGCAAACAGTGAGCACTCTATAAATACAACTACCACTCAGGTTGGGGAGCTTGGGTGGATCAATACTTCGCTTCCTCAGAAATTTTCCAGAAAGCTGACTTTAGGGAACAGTTATGTTCCCCTAAGAGGCTAAATTTGCCTGGGGGTAATCATGGAGTCAGTTATGCCTCAGTCTTCATTGTCATCTTGTCTTTTCTGCACTCGCTCTTTCAGAAAATGGTCATTGGTACCTGCTAGGTTAAGAAATCCTGTGGTTGGTACGCAGGATACAACAGGAAACAGTCCAGACCCTGCTCTCAAGGAGCTCCTGGCCGGTAGGACAGTCATAACACAAGGCTCTCAGCAACATAAAAGGCAGAGGCCTGGTCTGTCCTGCTCATCATTTGTTGATGAACATCATGTGTTGCTAGGGCTTTGCTCTGGGTTTGGTGCTGAGTAGGTGCTCCAGATGGTTCCTGACTCAAAGGAGCTCGCAGTCTAGAGGGCACTATGGCAGTGACCACAAAGGGTGATGACTGGGTGAAGAAGAAGGTCCTATGGCAGCCTAGAGAAGGCTGTTGGAGAGATCAGAAGAAGTGACTTCGAGGCTGAAGGACCTGCCGAAGATGGCCAAGCCTGGCTCCGTGTGGTGGAGGCAGAGGAGTGGGAGGCGTGTAGGCTCTGGAAACGGCTTGTGCCAAAGCCCCGAGGTGAAAGGGGTAAACCTAGAGAGGTTAAGTTGGGCTTGGTAAGCCACCCTAAGGATTTTAAGCTTCATCCTTAGGATGACAGCAAGCCAGTGAGTCATTATCCAAGCAGCAAAAGCAACAGAAAGTACCAGAAATCTAAAAAAGAACAGGAGAGGAATGAAAATGGCATCCTTTCCTCATTAGCACTACTTGAATATACTGAAAGCTCTTATTTAATCACAAAGAACACCAGCCTAACTCGCTCTTGTGGGATCACTACTTTAAAACATAACCTCTCCCTTTCCCCCTTTAAATTAATTCCCAGTTATTCATAAACTAAGCAAAACCATAATGACTTCTTTAGCCCAAAGTGACTGACTTGCTTTATTTTTGGACTTCATTTCCTCTGTAACCAGGGTCTGCTGGTCAGCCTCAGCCAGGTGTCAGGGGCCACTTAGACTTGAAAGACATACAGCACATGTCACAGTCAAGCACACCCACACATCGCCCACGAATGAACTCTGCTGCAATCTTGCTTCCTCTTGGCCTCCAAACATGCCCTTCAGAACCCCTCAACTCTGGGACCCCTCTACTCCAGGAACCATTTTTTTTCATGTTTTTAGTAACTGACTCTCCCAAGAAAAGGTTTATTTCCTCCCCTTCCCCCTAGGCACCAGATATGCTGTGAACAGCGGCCCCTTTCCTCCCAAGTCCCCAAGTTCTTGCTCCTCCTCCTTCTGGACTACTCTGGGCCTTTGACCCTGTGAGTCTTTCCCCCCAGCCCCCTTCAGGACACAGTGTCACCTGCTTCTGGTCCCTTTCTCCATTCCTCCCAGGGCAGCTGCACAGGGCTCATCCCTCCACACTGCTCATCCCTCTGCACCCGCTCCCTCAGCAGTCTTCTCCTCTCAGGATGGCCACAGACCTCTCTCCCTCCAGGACCTCTACTCCGAACTCAGACCTGCCTTTCCTCCTGCCTGGTGGACCCTTTCACCTGCACCGTTATATCCGTGTGTCCGAAACCTACCCTCCTCATCTTCCACCCTCTTCTCCTTTCTGTCATCACTGTTACTCTGATCATCCGTTCTGGTTAAGTCAAGCTGAGAACGTTATTTTTTTATTTTATTTAGAGTTTGGGACCTAGGCTGAGAAGCGGTCCAGGGTCCCAGTTCCAGCTCCGTTCTGGCTTTCTGAATGACTTTGGACAAAGTCGGCGGAACTTTTTGAACCTGTTGCCTCCCACATATTCGGAAAGCCCAAGTAAAAGAACTGTGGTCAAGGTTTTCCAGACGTCCTCTCACGAAGGATTAAACACGTTTCTAATCTAAGGTGACCAGACGTCCCGCTTTAGGCGGGACAGTCCCGGCTATTACCAATTTGTCCCGCGTCCCGAGGCGTTTTTAAAAAAGTCCCGTTTTTTTTCTTTAAAAAAATAGGGATTTTTTTTTTTTTTTTAAACGCCACGGGACAAATTGTTAGAAAACCGGGACGTCTGGTCACCTTATTCTAATCAAGAGCCGGTGAGTAGTAGCAGGAGCTGGGCTCCAAGCAGAATTGTAACTTTAAATCCAGAACCCGTTTTCTCGTTTACATGTCACCGTGGGGCTCGCTCTCTCGCCGCGCCCTCGGGAGCCGGACCCAGACTACACCCTGCGAGCAGCAGGCAGCCTCCTCCCGACGCTGTTTGCTCACCTGTCCTCGTGGGGACCCCGCCACCGGCCGGGTCCGCGCCGCTCAGCCGGCTCCGAACGCCCCGCCCACAAGCGGGGAGCCGGCTTCCGGTTCCCCGCGGGTAGTCCCGCCCCCCGGCGGGTAGCCCCGCCCCCCGCTCCGATTGGCCGGCGGCGCGCGGGGATTGGCTGTGCGGCGGCGCGGGCTGACGTGGCGGAGTCCCTGGGCAGGTCCCGGGGCTGCCGGCAGGAGGGACCGGGAGCGGGCGCGGCCTGAAGCCCCGCGGGGAGCAGCCGGGGAGCAGCGGGAGCAGCAGCGATGCCGCTGGAGCTGGAGCTGTGTCCCGGGCGCTGGGTGGGCGGGCAGCACCCGTGCTTCATCATTGCCGAGATCGGCCAGAACCACCAGGGCGACCTGGACGTGGCCAAGCGCATGATCCGCGTGGCCAAGGTGAGGGGAGCGCTCCAGAGGAGCGGGGTGCCTGAATGGACGGGCGAGGGGGCGAGGCGGGGGGGTGGGAGGGAGAAAGCCGGCCTGGGAGGGGCTTTCGAAAGGGGAGGGGTCGCGGGAAGCCGGGTCTACCTTTCTCTGCCTCTTGCCCTGCATCGCCCCTGAGGTCCTGGTTGCGAGATCCATTTTTTAATTATCGCTCCTGAGGTCCTGGTTGCGAGATTCATTTTTTAATTCTTTAAAAAGAAAATGTCTTTATTGATTTCAGAGGGGAAAGGTGGGGGGGGGGGAGAGAGAGAGAGAGAGAGAGAGAGAGAGAGAGAGAGAGAGATGATGAGAATCATTGATCGGCTGCCTCCTATGTCTTAGGCTGGGGATCGAACCCGCAACCCGGACATGTGCCCTGACTGGGAATGGAACCCTCCTAGGCCATTTTTTAATCTTTCTAATCCTCCTCATTCTTGCTCCACCCTGATCCTCCTAACGTGACTTCTCTCGCCCCCTCCTGGTGGCAGAGTGGTCTCTAAAGCACAGATTTGATCAGGTTGTACCCCTGCTGACATGTTCAGTGGCTCCCAGTGACCTTGGGTAGATGGGATGCTTTATCCAACTTATTAAAAAAAGAGTCAGGAGGTTTTTGGCTAGAAATAATGACAAAGATTAATTCAAGGGTCTTAGAGTTTGGAAACACAACTAGGCATAACCCCAGAAGTGTTCTGAAGAAGAAAGGAAAGTTGCAAGTTTTTATAATAAAGTCACATCTTTTGAGAATAATCAGTTCTGCCTTTTTAGTTGGCCCATTAGCAATTGGATGTCAGGTGGTGTGGATGATGGATGCCGGGCAGTCTGGCCATGTCCTAAGTTCTTTAGGGAATAGTCATGTCTGGGGTATGTTCATGCATTGACACACAATCAACTCATGTATCTGTAGATAATGGTGCAGAACTGGGAAGTTAAACATTTCAAGCTACCAGGGAAGTTAAGAGAAAGAATCATTTTCCTTATGCCTCAATCATCATCATGATGTTAATAATTTTGCAGCTTGCTAATACAAGGAGTGTGTTTGCAGTATTGAAGGTTGACTTTGTTTTAACTTTAAATTTTTTATGTAAATGGCGCATCACCCCTTGGTTCATCCTAGTGTCCTGCTGCCGGTTTCCTGCCAGTAGAGAAGCAGTAAAACGTTGAACAAGGAAACCAGTCTTATAGTAAAACAGACAGTGATTGTTTTCTGAACATGGAGTTTATCAAAGCATTAAACATACGAAATCAGGAAAGAAGCTGAGAAAAGAGGAACCTGTTCTGGTACCAGTGCTGTCATGTGGAATGTAGTTTCGGCTACTTCGCTTTTTTGTTATTGTTAATCCTCACCCCAGGGTATTTTTTCCATTGAGAGAGAGAGAGAGAGAGAGAGAGAGAGAGAGAGAGAGAGAGAGAGAGAGAGAGAGAGAGGGAAAGAGAGAGAGAGAGAGGGAGGAAGGGAGGGAGGGGGAGGAAAGGAGTAGGGGATCAGAAAGGGGGGGAGAGAGAGAGAGAGAGAAACGTTGATGTGACACATTACTTGGTTGCCTCTCGCACATACCCCATCTGGACTGGGGATTGAACCTGCAACCAAGGTATGTGCCCTTGACCAGGAATCAAAACCCAAGACCCTTTCCGGTCACAGGCCGACACTAACCACTTGGCAACATTGGCCAGGACTGTGTTACTTTGCTTTTATCATCTTCCTGTAAAGGGAAGGCTTGCTTAGATGGAAACAAGTCTTTTAACTTCTTTTTTGTTGTTGTTCAAATTTAAATTCTTTATTGTTTAAAGTATTACATAAGCCTCCTTTTTCCCATTGACCTCCCCCAGTCGCTTCCACCCCACAGCACATGCCCTCACCCTCACCCCCCACCCTTTAACTTCTTGATTGAAAGTCCACTTCTTGAGAAAGATGTGAGAAGCGAAGGGAGCCTGAGTGACACTGTGTGAAGGCCTGTTCCTCAGCCTGCTGGAGGCCTGAGTGTAGCGGAGGTCCAGGCTGCACATGGGCTGCAGCCTTTAGGAAAGTGATCTGCCAGCTGTGCCAGACACTCATTGTGCAACTTTGTCAGGTCACTTTGGGCCTTGGGATCTCCATCTAGACAAAGGGAACTGTGGTGCCCTACATCACTTTCCATTCTAATGTTCTTTGAACTTCTTCCCAGTGTCATGTCCTGACTGTGCTGTCTTGTGATTTTTTTCCAGGAGTGGGAGCAGCACTCTTAGCACAGTCATTTCTGGAGCCAAGGTTTTCAGCAGCAATGAATACCTCTGTTTCTACAGAAATGTCAGTAAGCTGACTCGTTAGAGGGTTTCCTTAATATTTCTGTTGAGTAGTTTTTAAAGACAATTTTGAAGGTTGGATGCTGGCTGGCAATGGAATTGTAGCTTTTATAGCCAGACAATCCTGCTTTCATATTATAGCTTCCGTTCAGTTAGGGTGGGGCATGTATACATTTTGTTTGCTTCTTGCCCCAGAATCTCTTGTCATGCTTTTCTGTGCAAGTGCAAAAGGACTAAAAGCAGAGTAGTTCCCTTATTTCCCACTCCCATAAGGGGCTCCTCAGAAAAGTTACCGGCCCTGGAGCTAGCCCAAAGCATTTACTGATATAGATAGAGAAACTGAGTCCAGAGATAGGACTTATCCAAGAGTTAGGGTCAGGTTCTGATATTTTTTCTCCTAAATTCTGGTCCAGTGCTCATTTTACTATCTTCTGCTGAGTTGCACAACTTAAAAATCTTCCTTAACTGTTTGATTAATTTAAATATTACAACACAAAACAAAGCCCCCCCCCATTTTTGCATTTTAAGGGGGGAAAATAGGAAGAAGTCCCATCCCCAACCTTTTCCTTTGAGACTTTTTGCTTCTCCTGTCCTCTTCTTGAGGGTTCTTTTCTTCTTTTTTCTTTTTTTAATTTATTTTTTAAAATATGTTTTTATTGATTTCAGAGAGAGGAGGGGAAAGAGAGATAGAAACACCAATGAGAGAAAATAATCTATTGGCTACCTCTTGCATGCCCTCTACTGGGGATCAAGCTTGCAACCTGGGCATGTGCCCTGACTGGAAATTGAACTGAGACCTGGTTCATGGGTCAACACTCAACCACTGAGCCACACCAGCCAGGCTTCTTTGGGGCTTCTTAACTGCCTCTGTCATTTGACATTGTTTGTAAAGATAATGATGTCATAGCAGGTGCCCCAACATTTCTGAGAACCCATGACAGGTCACTGAAAGGAACCCTGATGTGTGTTGCAGGAGTGTGGGGCTGACTGTGCCAAGTTTCAGAAGAGTGAGCTGGAGTACAAGTTTAATCGGAAAGCCTTGGAGAGGCCGTATACTTCGAAGCACTCCTGGGGGAAGACATACGGGGAGCACAAGCGCCACCTGGAATTCAGTCATGCCCAGTACAAGGAGCTGCAGAGATATGCCGAGGAGGTTGGCATCTTCTTCACTGCCTCTGGCATGGATGAGGTAAGCCCTCTGCCCCTCTGTCCACTTGAGCAGACCCCGGGACAGCAGGCGGCCTGGCGGCTTTTGGCTTTGAGCCGGCTCTTTTATGCTTTCTGGACCTAGAGCTCTCCATAGCACTAACCAGAATAATGTTCTTCAGGCTGTGAGAGCCCCCACTGGCAGTTTTCCCCAGTGGAAAGTCATCTGAAATAGGAGTCGGGCAACCTCAGTTCTGGCAGCCGTCCGTCCCTTGCTGAGTGGCCTTGGCTGATTTGGGTGTCATGGCACTGGCACCATCCAGAAGGGCATGGCACCCAGGATGGCCATGCTCACATCCTGGAAGAGTCTAGCTGGTGCCAGGTCTCAGTTTTGATCTGCTCTGAAACCTGCCTCAAGATTTCTTCATATATCTTTCTGAATGTAAATAAATTTTAATTGTAAAAACTAATATAACATCACAGAAAGTTTAGAAGACAGGAAAAAGAGGGAAAAACTGACCCATAATCCCTATATGAAACTTCTTTTTATATATTTCCTCCCAAAATGTTTTTATATGCAGATTTTTATTGCCTGGTGGTTATATTTGTAAATATTTGTAATTCTGTGCATCTTTTCCCAGTTAACATTATACCAAAAGCTTTTACCCATATTTTCTTTTTATTTGAAGCTTTATTGAGATATAATTGATATATGTAACTCTCCAAGTGTGAGTAAACACACACACACACACACACACACACACACACACACACACACATGGCCCTGTGCATGAATTTATGCACCAGTGGGGTCCCTTGGCCTGGCTTGCAGGATTGGACTGAAACCGGCTCTCAGACATCCTGAGGATTCCCAGATTGCAAGAGGGCACATAAACAAAAGCTCTCTAGAGTCCTTAGTAATATTTAAGAGTGTAAACACAAAAACATTTGGGGCCCCATGCTGCACAATGCACACCTCAGCTGTGTGGCTCAGTGGGTAAGTGCATGGGCTCTGGGATCAGATTTTGAGTTTGAATATGGTTCTGCCTGTCATTCCTGGTGTGTCATGTGGAGGTTATTTCACCTCTTTGGATTCAGTTTCTTCAACTGTAATGCGAGTTAGTACTGAACCCATCTAGTAAGGTGCTCAGCAAATACTAGCTACAATTGAGGAAAACCACCTGGGCCGAGCGTCAGGACATCTGCCCTGCCCTGCTCTGCTCTAAGGGAGTATCAGTGAGAGCGTGGCGAGTCCTTTCCCTCTGCGGGCCTTCCTTTCCTCTTATATGTGAACAAGCTGCTATCCACGGGCTCTCCCAGCTCTGACCTCTGAGCCATTACAGGACCAGGAAGGCCTCACTCAGGGGCACACCTGGCAGGAGGACTGCTCAGGCCCCATTTCCAGGCACCTGAGCACCTGATGTTGCTGGAGAGAGGGCACCTCCTTGCATCGGTGAGCTGCTTAGGAAAGGTCACGTCTTTTGGTGGTTTGCTCCCAGGTGGCTTCAGGGTGAGCAGCAGAGGCAGTGGAGATGCAGAGAAGCCTGTGTGTTGTTAGTTGGTTTCCCAGACAGTGTCTATCTGGTGTGTGGAACACATGCTCTGCAGCCACACTGAGTCCAGGTCCTGGTACTGACACTAGGTGAGCTTGGGCTCATCGTGTCGTAACTGCTTTGAACCAAAGGTGCCTCATCTGTAAAAATCCTATATATCAATAGTAAAAAGTGTAGTATGCAAATTGTCCCCTTGACCAGGAGTTGTCCGGGTGTTCGGCGAGGGGGAAGGGCCAGCCAAGGGGAGGGAGGAGGGAGGAGAGAGGGAGTACCCAGCTGTCAGCCACCAGGGACCCTACCAGGGCACGGCACTGGGCCTCTGGTGGGATAATAAAAATGCCCACCCCACAGAGCTGGGGTGAGTATCAGTGAGATAGACCTGTGGGTACAAGATCTGAATCCACTGAGTGATAGTTCTGTTACAACTCTTTGGAGGTTCTCTGCATCACACCATCTCCGCAGGGAGGCTCCTGTCCTGGAATGCTCCGTTCGCTCTCCTGACTGACCTGGGCACGGCAGTGAGGAGAAACGCATTCTTAAGAGCCTTTACAAGAGTTAATTTGCGTTGCCAGCCAGGTCCTGTCTACCTGGCCGTTGGAGTGGGCTGGTCCCTTTTTTGTGTTTACCTAGCACAGGGCTCCGGTGTTGACCCAGCCTAACTTCCTCATGGACAGGTGGCACGCACTGAGTGCCGGTTTTCTCCACTCTGTGTGCTGCCCTCGGGCATTCTCTATGGGCTGAGGAAAGGGTAAGGTGTGGCCGAGTAAACTACCAGGGCACCTGGTCAGGACTGCACAGAGGCACACGCAGCTCTCCTGAAATGAGCAGAGTGCCTTTGGTCTAAATCCATGGTTGGCAAACTGCGGCTCGCGAGCCACATGCGGCTCTTTGGCCCCTTGAGTGTGGCTCTTCCACAAAATACGACGGCCTGGGCAAGAGTCTATTTTGAAGAAGTGGCGTTAGAAGTTTAAAAAATTTGGTTCTCACATCATGCTGAGTGAAATAAGCCAATCAATGAAAGAGAAACACCACATGACCTCACTCATTTGTGGATAATAAAGAGCATTATAAACTGATGAACCAAAAGATAGATATAGAGACAGTAAAGCAACAAGCAGATTGTCAAATTACAGCGGGGAGGGGAGGAGGATCTGGGGGAGATAACAGATCAACCGAAGGACTTGTATACATGCATATAAGTACAACCAATGGACATAAAACTATGGGGAGGGAGGGGATATGGGGGAGGGAGGGAGGGGGCAAAAAAAAATCATTAAAATATGTAAAAATAAATAAATAAATAAATTAAAAAAAAAAAAAAGAAAACAAGGCTAAAAACCTTATGAAAAAGCAGATAATTTCTTCAAGTTATCAAAATCATGGCAAAAAAAAAATACTGAGAATAGAAAAAATTGTTTTAGCATGTTGATACTTATATTTTTTAAACTTGCAGAACCACAAATAAATATATTCCTGAGCTAAAAAAAAAAAAAAAAAAAAAAAAAATTTGGTTCTCAAAAGAAATTTCAATCGTTGTACTGTTGACATTTGGCTAATGAGTTTGCCGACCACTGCTCTAAATGGAGAGTTCGATTCAGACAGCCAGTGGCAGCCATGACTATAGAGGTGGCCCCTCACACACAAATGACCCATCCTGTGGAGCTGCCCCTCCCTCCCAGCGCCTGCCTTCTCAGTGCCCTTTCCTCTCCCTTCCTTTCCTTGGCCACCCCTGCCAGCAGGGTGCCTCCCCTCAAGGTCTGGTGCACTCTGACAGGCCACTTGGCTGAGTGCTTCCCCTTCATCATTCCTCACCCTGGGCAGCTCTTCAACTCATTGCATGGCTTTTTTTTTTTTTTTTTTTTTTTTTTTTTTTTTTTTTTTTTTTTTTATCTTTACTACAGGATCCCAAAACTAAGGGGAGTGTAGAGGCTTTAGAAACATCCCAGCTCCTCTCTTCTGTTATCTCTTAGGTCAGCGGGTCCCAAAGTTTCTTACAGGATGCAATATGGAAAGGCGGTTCTGGGTACACATTGTCAATTCTCATTAATTTAAAATCACTAAATCTCTCCTTCCACGTAAGAGGAGCTCTGCCAGTGCAGCATTTCACTCAAACCCATTTGCTGGTGGAACCCTTTTCTGTGAATTTAACCCATTTGGATGCCCAGGATGGGTCACACTGGCCAGGTTCCTTCCAGGCAGACTCCACAGGGCATGCATGTGCTGTGGAGTGGGAGGGAGGAAAAGTTGTGAGGCTGCTGGTTGCATTGCATCCCTACATGAAAGGGGATGGACAGCCAGATGGGCAGGACTGGGAGAAGCCAAGGAGTCCACTATGAGAAGGGGACATCTGGCACTGGTGAAGCCTGAGGAGGCTGGGGCACAGGATGAACGGCTAGCACCATCCCAATGATTGAAGTGGGCTAATGGCAGTTTTCTAAATGGCCACTAGGTGGGGATGGTTCCCCAGGAGGCCTACAAAAGGAGGCACAGGTGTTTATCGATAGAATTTACCCATCTTCCCTATAAAACTGTAAATTTTACAACCTCCACAGGTAAGCTTTAGCAATTTTTTCCCCCCTGTATTTGGCCCCTCCTTTCCCCTATTTGCTCTGCACCTCTCCCAAGTGACCTTATCCATCTATATATTTATGCCCTTGGGGGACATCTTTTTTTTTTTTTTTTTACCATGAGCCACTTTCTCACCAGTTGAACATTATTAGATAGAAAATGTAGCATAGGCTTTCCCTCTGAAAACAGAAAATACTCTTCATCTGCCAGATGGGGTGAAAGGTGCGGAAAACTTTGACATCATTCACTAAACATATTAATCTTTTTCAGCTCCATTCTAGAACTAGTTAACAGTGAGATATAGAGAGAGGAGAGAATGAGCTAGAAAAATATGGGAAAGAGACAAGGGAGAAACAAAGTAGATGGGAGGAGGCAGCAAAGATGGCTTAGCACACATGGAGGTGAGTGACACGTGGGCCACACTGGACAGTGTCTCTTGGACACGGCGGGTTGCAAACGGGCTTTGAACTGTTCATTGGCTGGTCAGCCACTCGAATGGCCCTCCAACAGCTATAACCAGTACATTATTACATATGGAGGACTTACATATGAGGAGAGTTATTCTCTGAGTGCAGCCACTGTGACTGGAGTAGCTCATTGATGGCCCACTGGGAAGATGTTCGGAAGCTCAGCCATCAGTGGGTTAATGAAAGGGTCTGCTGGGAGAATGTCCTTTTTTTTTTTTTTTTTTAACCAAAAACATGGAAAATTTATTACAAGCAGATTCAGAAGCCTTGTAGTCTAGGGCTGTATATTTGCTACAAGCCTACTTCTATATTTATCTGTGTGGTCACCTGATTGATTCCCTCAAATGTTCTTGCCCAGCAATGGACCCGAACTTTCCCTGTTTCTATGTGTTCTCTGTTCCTGTACTGAACTTTCTGTTTCAATGAGTTCCTACATCTGTTGCTGCAGGCCCTCCCTTGTTTTCCCAGGCCTCCCGCTTTGAGTCCAGACACACTTGATTATTTCTGCTTGGTTGGTTCTGTGAGAGAATGTCCTTTTCAATACTGTTCCTCACCACCCCTGTGTCCTTTGGTTTTTCAGGCATGGTGATCTAGCTCCTTGCTACCCAGAGTATGATTCATGGAGCACTAACCTTGGCATTACCCAGGAACTTATTAGAAATGCAGACTGTCAGACCTCACCCTAGACTGATGATCAGATTTTGCATTTTATTTTAATAAGATCCCTGGGAGATTCATGTACCCGAGTTAGAGCATGAGAAGCACTTACCTAGCTCATCAAGTCTTTCAAACTTACTTTTGAAACTTAGGCAGTATTTGAGGACAGATACAACTTAGATATTTGGGAACATTCCAAGACATTGATTCTCCCCATTTCTGATTTTTAACTTCAGTTTTTAAATAGTAGTAATAAAAGGTAGTTTTGGCCCTGGCTGCATGACTCGGGTGGAGTTTCATCCTATACACCAAAAGATTGCAGGTTCTATCCTCGGTCAGGGAGCATATGGGAGCAACCAATCCATATTTTTCTCAAATTGATGTATTCCTTCCTTCCTTTCTCTAAAATCAGTGAACATATCCTGGGGTAAGGATTTTTTTTTTAAGGTAGTTTTGGGGTTCTTTGTAGATTTAACAGCAAATAGATTTTACTCTTAAAACTTGTGGTCTTCTGACTCCTTCATCAAGCATTTGCTATACTTGCCAGTTTTATTGAGGAACCCTAGATAAGGATGGTGAAGGGCCCTAGACAGGACATTTGAAGCAGTGATACTATGTCAAAAAAAAAAAAAAAAAAAAAAAAAAACCTACTGAGGTTTTCACTGGGTGCCATGGTATGAGGTCTGAAAGGGCTTGGGTTTGATAGGCCCTGCCAACTCACTGTGACAGAGCTGGGCCGTGAAATGCTCCATTTTTTCCACTTTTGGCAAGGATTGAAATGGCCTATTTTCCCTGCTTTTTGATCCTTCATGAAGGGTTTGACCTTTGAGGGACATTCATTTTCTCCTGCCTGGTTTTCTGGGTTAAGATGAGGTCATGACCCATGAGTGTGTTCGCTGGGTTCTGTGCCCTGGGGAAGAGGATCTGGCCAGGGTCTGGTTTTTCTCCAGGTTCTGTAGTCAGCCAGGCCAGCATGCAGTGTTTGCCGGACAAATGGGATGGGTGGCTGTGAATGAAAGAATGTTTAAAGTTGAATGAAATGACTGATAACAAATCTTTGCCTGTTTTCAGGTTGTTGAGAGAGTCCCTCTGGCTGGTAAAAGGAGGGGGCTTTCTGTTCTGTGTGGCTCCTCACCTGTCTTGAGGGCAGTGGTTTTGAACAACCATGAAAAGAGCGCCTTCTTTTATTTTTGTAGATGGCAGTTGAGTTTCTGCATGAATTGAATGTTCCATTTTTCAAAGTTGGATCTGGGGACACTAACAATTTTCCTTATCTGGAAAAGACAGCCAAAAAAGGTGAGTGTTTAATCTCTGTCATAAAATATGAGGGAGTACGCACCACATTTTTACTCCTTTAGTGGCAGCTAAAGGAATAAATCAGACTTGAGAAAACTCTTTTCAATCTGTACATACGGTACTTCGACTTTTTCATATGCTAACTTGAAAAAGAAGAAAGTAAGGATGACAGTTGTTATAAGGATTTAATTAAAATTATTTTTAATTTATAAGAAATAATACAAAATTGAAGATCTGATACCATAAAATTCTTAAAGCTCTTGGAAATATTCTCGAGATATGCATATGTACCGTTTGTAAGGCAGGGCTTACAGTATGAGTGATCTCATTTGATTCCCACAGCTCCTCTGGGACTTTGTACTTATGTCACAGACGGGCATCTGAGATCACATAGCTACCGAGTGGCAGCCCTGGGCTCTTGAATCTGGAGTCTGTGCTTATCCTACTACACAGTACAACCTCTTAATCCAATGAGATGCTCATCTTTCTTTGAGGTGTGTGAAATTGCTCCGACTCCTCAATTCAGTTCACTTTTCTAAACTATAATGTTGGGAGGTTAGGGGAGTCTGCATTTCCCCTGGTTGAGGGCAGGAACTCACCTCTGTTCCCCCACAATGGCTGGCAGAGTGTTTGAGAGTTATTTGTGAAGTTTGGTTGACCAGATGACCAACAATTGGGGTTTGAGGGAGAATCAGAATCACTAAAGAGAAAGTGACGATGGTGTGGGTATTTGGTCACTTAGGCCGCCCAATGGTGATCTCCAGCGGGATGCAGTCGATGGACACCATGAAGCAAGTCTATCAGATTGTGAAGCCCCTCAACCCCAACTTCTGCTTCCTGCAGTGCACCAGTGCATACCCACTCCTGCCTGAGGATGTCAACTTGCGCGTCATCTCGGTGAGTAGGAGGAAGGGCCACTGTCTCATTGGGCCACTTGAAAATGGCTTTTCTTAGGCCATTTACTGCAGGGAAGATGTAGCCTCTTTTTTCTCTGTCTTATACATTCTTCTTCTTTTTTTTAAAGTATTTATTGCGGAAAGTATTACATATGTCCCCTTTCTCCCCCATTGATGTAGCTTTCTATACACACAAAATGCTAATCAATATTGATATGCTTCATAACTTGAGCCTCCTTTGACAATCTTGCTGTAATAGAACCAACCAAGCAGCTAAGGAAGCAGGTGCATTCTATAGAGGGTGACTATAAATTAAGTTTTCTTAAAACCAATATTAATTTCAACCATTATTAAATGTTAAGTTAATAATTGTCTATATACCTTTATTTTACCCATGTGTATTGGCCATTAGAAGTCCCTCTTCTGTGAATCGCTGGCTTATTAGTGAGTTACTTTTGTGTGTGGTAAAATAAAAGCCTTACCATTTTAACCATTTTTAGGTATACAGTTCCAAGGTATTAAGTACATTTACAGTGTTGTGCTACCATCACCACCATCCATCTCCAGAACTTCTTTATCTGAAATTAATCACATTAAACACTAACTGCCCATCTCCCCTCCCCCTGGCAGCCATCATTCTTCTTTCTGTCTCTGTGGATTTGACTTCTTAAAGTACTTCATGTAAGTGGACTCACACAGTGTTTGTCCTTTTGTCTTCTTTCACTTGGCATAATGACTTCAAGGTTTATCCATGTTGTAGAATGTGTCAGCATTTCATTCCTTTTTAAGGCTGAATAATATTCCATTGTATGTATATAGCACATTTCATTTACCTACCCATCAATATGTATTTTGGATATTTCCACATGTTGAATATTGTGACTAATACTGTTAGGAACATCAGTGTACAAATATCTTTTTATTTTCTCCATATCGAGTTGTAGCTGACTTTCTTGAAACTTCTGTTTTTTCCTGCTCTGTGTTTCTTGCCAGCTCTGTTATATTTCTACCTGTAATTCTGTGCATCCCCGAGACTCAAACTATTTACATTGACAAAGGTTTGAGGGAGCTTTTTCTCTCCCAGGGTTTTGTCCACCCCAACTCAATTAAAGATGGTGAAGTCTAGTCCCAAAGGGAAAAACACTTACTTGTTAGAGATCTCACAGCAGCTTGGTGGCAAAGCTGAGACTAGAATCCTTTGTCCCTGTCTTGGGCCAACGTTTGGTACCTGGAACTTAATTAGAAATGTACATATATGTAATTATCATATGAAAATATTAGTGTGATTCTAAATATATACACACACATAATCATGATATTGCAATTGACCAGTTTTCCTTTTACATTTTCCTTTCAGTGCAGCATCTGACATTGTTTTATTTTCATGACAGTGTAAACATTTGTACATGTTGCTGCAGTCTTCACATCTCACTTTAAAAAATTAACCTTTATTGCCTGGATGGTATGGTCAGGGGTTGAGCATTGACCTATGAACCAGGAGGTCACGGTTCCATTCCCCGTTAGGGCACATGCCCAGGGTGCAGACTTGATACCCATTGGGGGACGGTGCGGGGGAGGGGGCTCGAGTGCAGGAGGCAGGTGATTAATGATTCTCTCTCATAGTTGATGTTTCTCCCTCTCCCTTCCCTCTGAAATCAATAAAAAAATACTTTTTAAAAAAATTAACGTTTTTTGACAACTGACACTATCTTTTTACCTAAACTTTCTGACCCTCCTAATTGGTAGTCTTTTCTCTATTTCTAGCCATCTCTTAATGCTCTTATTTTAAAAATTTAAACATGTTTTTTTAAAAACCCAAATAGCTTTGAGCTATAGAACATAGAAAGTGAATGTTCTCTTAATCCCATGCAAATGAGATTACCATTATCAACAATTTATTATATGTGACTCCAGATATTTTTCCTCTCTGTGTAGCATGGTTCCCCTTTCCTTTCCAGACCCATCTGAGGTGCAGTCATGTCTGTCTGCTCTTGATACCAGGGCACAGTGAGTGATAAATTGCCAGCCCTCCCATCTCAGGCCCAGCCCACCATATTACAGCAGTCTGAATTACTTGACCTAGCAACCTGCACTCCCTTGTCCATCACGTACAATTTAAGCCTAGTTTTCAAGGCTTTTGCTGCTCAGCTGTCCGAATCTTTTATTAAACCCCATCTTGGTCTTTCTACTGTACGTAAGCTTTCTGTAATCCTCACTGACAAGACTCACTCGACTTAAAATGTCTTTTGTTGTATTCAGTGAATTATAGATAACAGATTAATTATTTAGCATTTCTACCAAAGGATTGTTTTGAGATTGGACTATATACATTATTGATGATGATATATGTGCATATAGCACACTGGCTTTCAGCAGTTCAGGCTAATTAAACGTGACAGATGCCTTTTGAATGAGTTTAGGCATCTGGTTATAGCTGTTATTCCTGGTGGTTTGTGCAGTGAGAAACATTCTTAAAATGCATTCTCGATAACAATAGCCATTGATTCTTTGAGCATCTACGTGTGTTGAGTGTTTTTCATGCATTTATGGCAGTCCTCGAAGCTATTATTACCCCAGTGAGAGGCCCAGAGAGCCTGAGTGTCTTGCCCGTATTGCACCAATGGTGAGCTGCTAAACTGGGACTCTAACCCAGATCTGCCTGACTCTGGAATATATGCATGAAATGCCACAATATTTAACCTATTTTTTTTTTCTTTTTATTTAAAGGAATATCAGAAGCTCTTCCCTGACATTCCCATAGGGTATTCTGGGCATGAAACAGGAATAGCAATATCTGTGGCCGCTGTGGCTCTGGGGGCCAAGGTTTTGGAGCGTCATATAACTTTGGACAAGACCTGGAAGGGCAGTGACCACTCGGCCTCGCTGGAGCCGGGAGAGCTGGCCGAGCTGGTGCGGTCAGTGCGCCTTGTGGAAAAGGCCATGGGCTCCCCAACCAAGCAGCTGCTACCCTGTGAAATGGCTTGCAACGAGAAGGTGGGTCCTGCCCCACCCTGCTGGGCTCCCCTGTTGGAGAGGGCTGAAATGGGTTTACCTGCCAGGGAGAGTCAGTACCTACCCTGCCTGAGCCCAGGCCAATTGGATGACAAAGGAGTATCACTCCAACCCCCTGAGTCTCTCTGTCCGCATATGAGCAGTGGGAGAAACATACTACTTAATGGAACTTTGGCAGTTCCTCTGGCTGCCTGAGATCATGTTATAATTTCTCATCTAAGCCTCTGAAGTCTGTGACCCTAGGCTCTAGACTCCAGGAGATGTAAGGGGTGGTGATGGTATCCAGGGCCTCATGAGGCACTCAGACAGGTCAAGTCTAGAGTCCCTTGGAGTAGGTAACCCTTGAAAAACATTCAGGTAGAGGGGTTCTATGAGGTAGTGGGAGAAGGACCTGTAATATTAGGTCTAGTAATAATTAATGTCGTTTTCTAATACTTTTTTTAAATCGAATTTATTTAAACAATACAACAAAATTTAATCAACAATATAGTTGCCGTTGTTTTCTACTACTTGTGCCCAACGCTCAGGAAGCATTTTAATCCCTCTGTTGTAAAATTCTTGTGATTTTGATGCAAAAAATTCGGTCAATGCATTTTTGAGGCATTCTTCATTATTAAATTTTTTTCCAAGAAGAAAGTTTTGCAAAGAACGAAACAAATGGTAATCGGAAGGGGCAATATCAGGAGAATATGCAGGTTGAGGGAGAACTTCCCATTCCAACTGGCGCAGTTTTTCAGCAGTGATTCTTGCAGTATGCGGTCGTGCGTTATCGTGTGAAGAATTACGCCCTTCCGATTAATCAGCGCGGGTTCTTTTTCTCTTAAAGCTTGGGCTAACCTTTCCAATTGGGCACTATACACTGCACTTGTAATGGTTTGTTTAGACGGTAAAAGTTCATAATGAAGAATTCCTTTAAAATTCCACCAAACACACATCATCACTTTTTTCTCATGCAAGTCAGGTTTTGGCGTGGGCTGCAGAGCCTCATTTTTGTCCAACCATTGAGGCCGCCTTTTCAAATTAACATATAGCACCCATTGTTCATCTCCGGTAACAATTTGCTCTAAAAACGGCAAACGGTTTTAACGAGAGAGGAGCGAACTGCATATTGTGACTCTTTGATTACGGTTGTTGTCGGTCAACTCATGAGGAACCCATTTTCCAAACTTTTGGACTTTGCCAAGTGCCCGCAATTGATTGGAAATTGTTTTTTGTGAACAATTTAAAGTTGTCGCAAGCTCTTGTTGGGTAATTTGAGGATTTTGCACCAAAAGAGCTTGAAGAGCTTCTTGATCAAAATTGGACACACGGCCTCGACCACTCTTGTCATCTAACGAAAAATTTCCCTCACGAAATTTCTCAAACCAACGCTGGCATTTTCTGGCGCTAACTGCATCTTGACCAAGAGCACTACAGATGTTTTTTGCAGCCTCACTTGCTTTTCTTCCTAATTGGAACTCATAAAGCATGCAGTGTCGAATATGCTCTTCATCCGCCATCTTCTTAGCCCTAGTTTTGCAACAAAAACCAAACCAAACACAAACTTTTTCAAGCAAAACTTGTTAATTACACTTAACACGTTCTGTAGATACCACGTGTTTGAAGGTTATGTCAATACAAGTCAACGCCAAGCAAGATTTTAAACGAATGTTTAAAAACGACATTAATTATTACTAGACATTAATTATATTGAGGCATCCCTCATCAGGAGGCACTGGTAGGATGGGGGTGGCCAATTGTCAAGGAGGTTAGTGGAGGGGATGATGCAAGTGTTCTCTCAGGAAGTTTGAGTTGTGTAGCATAGACCTTTAGACAGAGGGGATGGTGAGGCCAACGAACACTGCCTGGCACACTGACAATCTGGGCTTCTTGGAAGGGTAGGGTAGGCCTGTCTTGACTTCTGAGTTATAGAGCCAGGCGACCCAGGGCTGGCAGGAGTGCAGACACTCCTCATCTGCTGCAGGCTGTCTGGGTGAAGGCCAAGATCAACCATTCTGGTGGGGCCCTACTCACTTCCTTCAAATTAAAGATGCATCCATAACAGGAAATTATAATAGTAAAAACAAACTAAAAACCTGATAGAGGAAAAGGGGGGAGGAGGGGGGAGAAGAAAGAAGAATTGTATCAGAAACCAGAATGAGAACTGAGTGCATAATTTGGTTCTAAATCTCCTGGCTCCCTGAGCAAACAGTCAAACATAATAGGACGAATAATCTGATATTGGTCATTGACAGACATTTGTCTTAGTACTACATTCTAGAACTGATTCCTTGGCTCTTACCTGAAGGATATAGAGGAATATAATTTGTTTAGCAGCATTGTGGACAAGACTTAGAAATGCTGGTGGTGGAGCTTCAGGCATCCTTCATCCTGCTCGCCTGCCATTCTGTCTGCCCCATCCTAGGAGTAGCAGTCATACTCATCATCTTGCGAGACCTCCATATTCCTATTTCAATAAGCAATGAGGCCTGTAAGGTTCATGTCCCTTGAGAGCACTGGGCCAGGAATGAGGAATCCTAGGTTCTCTTCCCAGCTCCTTGCAACTTTAGCCAAGTTACCCACCCTCTGTGTGCCTCAGTTTTCCCATGCTTAAAATGAGATATTGGTTTTATCAGGAGCATCCTCTATTTCAGGTAGATTACATATATTATCACTAATCCTTATGGTAGTCGATAAGATAGAGGCATTATTATTTCCCATTCTATAGAGAAACTGTAGGGGTTCCCTGAGGCAGTGGGAGAAGGCTCTGTTTGGTGACATAATCCTAGCCTTTTCCTTTGCATTTTATTATGAAGGCCCTTTCTCTGAATCCGAGTTCACCCCACACTGGCCAAGTCCCCGCCATGTCTGACATACTGCTCTAGGTACCAAGGGTGAGAACAGTCCCTATTCTCAAGACACCTTGTGAAGACTGATCAGGCATCCTGAGTATAAAGCAATGTGCACTAGTTACTTTTGTGAGACTAGCACTGAGTGTTACTTTTATCCACAGCTGGGCAAGTCTGTGGTGGCCAAGGTGAAAATTCCAGAAGGCACCATTCTCACACTAGACATGCTGACCGTGAAGGTGGGTGAGCCCAAAGGCTACCCTCCTGAAGACATCTTTAGCCTGGTGGGCAAGAAGGTCCTGGTCACTATTGAAGAAGACGACACCATCATGGAAGAATCTGTAGACAATCACGGCAAAAAAATCAAGTCTTAAAATAAAGTGCCACTCTCTGAATTCTGAATTGCCTCGGTACTGTTGTTTATCAGTGTTTTTCAACCTTTTTTGGGCAAAGGCACACTTGTTTCATGAAAAAAATCACGAGGCACACCACCATTAGAAAATGTTAAAAAATTTAACTCTGTGCCTATATTGACTATATATAAAGTAATTCTCTTGAATAGGAGTCAAATAAACACAAAGAAAGTATTTTATAATTACTTTATTATGAAATATTAAGTAAACAAAATAGTGAAAAATTATAAAATTCTTGTCTTGTCTGCACCTACGGCACACCAGGCAACATCTCGCAGCACACTAGTGTGCCGCGGAACAGCGGTTGAAAAACGCTGGTTTATATTGGGTGAAGTGGGACAGAAGTGGTCTCCAAAGACCTGATTCTCATTCACTCCCTGTCCCTGACAGCAGACACTTTTGGGCCAGGCCCTTTTGTTGAAGGAATACAACAAAAAAGCAAATACAACTGCCTCTGCTTCAGGTTGGCTGGCCCAGGAGGGGAAGTGGGCTCAAAAGGAAGTTGTCACCTCCAGTTGTGTGGGTGCAAGAGGGACAACTGCTGGCTGGATAGGTCCTGTCTTTGAAGCTTTCATTTTTACTGCCCACAAAAGCAACCCAAATGACCTGAAATCTCCCTTCCAGACCTCCATGGCCCTGTCCCCTGCCCACACCCGGGCTCTGTGTTCAGTTGGCTGTATAGCGATCACTTGGTATTCTAGAACGTATTGGTCAAAGGGTCTTGCAGGCAGTGAAATATCGAAAGTGCTCATATCTCAGAGAAAAGAGCGGGAACTTCTTTCAACAGCTCTGCCAGACTCTTAGGTCCTGAGGATAAGTCCAATCCCTTCCTCATGGAACTTCCATTCAAGTGGTGCCATATGATATACAATAAACCATGAACACAGTTGATTTAACTATGTGAAAAGGTGGTAGGTGCAATGGGGGTAAAGGAGGAATAGAACCAAGTAAGGGAGATGGGGAATGTGGGCTTGGTGTGCTAGCATGTTGTGACGACTTTGAATATGGTGGTAATGCTGAAATCAGCCCTATTATCCATAATGAAATTGTAAACCCAGCTAATAAAAAAGATTGTCTTATGTCCTTAAACAGCAGCATGAACCTTTCACAGAAATTTCCTATCATATTTCTTTTTGTTCACATTTGACCTTGTTTACTGTGTAACTCCTCTTGTTTCAAAGTGCATCTCTTTTCAAATGCATAAATTAGCCTCTTGAAGTTTATTTACTTGTGAGTATAGAACCTTCCTCTCTTGCAGATCTCAAAACAGTTTCTGGAAAGGTACTCGAGTCTGTGTGGAAGAAGTGGGATAGGAATCCTGGGTTGTACTCATGTGTAAAAGAAAACCCATAAAATTGATATAAGAACTAAAGTGTGATAGTACCAATTTCTGGCTATTTTCTCCCTTTCATATTTTTCCTATAAACACCCAGTTGAAGTGTCCTGTACACCAAAGGTGGCAGGTTCAATTCCCAGTGAGAGTACATACCCAGATTCAGGTTTAATCCCTGGCCAACCAATAGATGTCTCTCCTCTCCCTCTTGAAAAATCAATTTAAAAAATTTAAAAAGACAAATATATTTTATGTGAACATATATATTAGAAAATTGCTGTCATTTACACATCTCTGCAAGCAATTTGCTGTATCAATTAAGAAATTTCTACAAATTCAAATCTGAAAGAATGATCAATATCCTTGCAGACATGGACCCCAAGGAAGCTCAGTTCTCTCCTGTGAATATGCAAGGAACCTCCTGCTACTGTCAGATGGCAGTTTGGAGTAGCAGTTGTCTCAGTGCTAAGCACAACAGGAACTCTGCTGGGGAAGCTCACACATCCTGGCAAGGCACAGCTCTGTAAAGTTTTTAAGGCTAGTTCCTATCCTTGGCTCATTTGAGATTTACAGCACTGGTAACAGGATTTTCACACCCACTTTACAGAGGATTCTCAGAGAAGTAAAAAGTGACTAGCCTAAGGTCAGAGTTGACTGTGGACCAAAACCAGTTTTCCAACTGGTGTAGGTCTTGGCACCAAGTAGGCATTTGATAAAAGCTATTTTTCAGCCGGGACCGGTTTGGCTTGGTGGATAGTGTGTCAGCCTGCGGACTGAAAGGTCTCGGGTTTGATTCCGATCAAGGGCATGTACCTTGGTTGCGGGCACATCCCCAGTAGGTGTGCAAGAGGCAGCCGATTGATGATTCTCTCTCACCCATGTTTCTAACTCCCTATCCCTCTCTCTTCCTCTTTGTGAAAAAATAAAATATATATATTTTTTAAAAAGCTATTTTTCAACTTTTATAGTCTCTGCTACTCTCAAATCCCCACTCTCGGTATAAGACCTCATCTCAAGAGCCCAAGGGAGATAATCCAAAGCTAGATTCAGGTCCCACAGAGTAAACAGGCAAAAGAGTATAGCATTCCAGGCCCACTGAGAGGGGCTAGCGTGAGCAGGTGCTGACCAGAGACTGGCTACATTTGCTCTAACAGTGTAGCCTTGTGGACATTAGCACAGACCCCAGCTCCACCATTAGCTGTGTGACCTGTGTGTCTCAATTGGGATAACTTTCTAACTCCTAGGGATGATGTGAGGATCAAATGAGTTCATAGCTGTAAAGCATTAGGACAGTGCCCAACAAGAAGGAAGGGCCCTTGTTACTCAGCCCCTGTTGGCTGTGGGTTGGGAGCCAGTCTGGATTTGCAGGGATGAACAGAGATGTAGAGTCAAGTGTACCCCTCCTTGCTCTGTCGGGAAAGCTCTCTGTCTGAATTCAGTTTGGGACCATTCCCAGTAAAATATCCTTTTCTCAGGATTCCTGGAGCATAGTGCTTAGACATCTATTCAAGAGTTTTAAATTATTTGGTTAAAACTAAAGGCACTTTTGAGGTTCCTTCTGTCTTGTATTCTAATTGTATTACATTGCCCCATATGAAAGCGCCATTTTTAGGTAAAAAAAAACTATTGGAAATTCTCAGTTTTTTTAATGGTTCAAACGAATTAATGCACTTAGTCTGTTTAAACCATGAGGGAGATTCAGCTTTGTGTTTTCCTCACCCTACCACTGTCCTGACAAGCACTTAATAGGAGAAATTTAATACGATATAACTTGAAAAAGTCCGGGAACTTGACAAACCAGGGTGCTGAGCCTTTAGCACTGAGGCACGGGCCCTGGACGGAGGTCTTTCCCTCCCTGCTAGAGGAGCTGGCCTCCCCGAGGCCCTGCCCGCCTGGCCTTCTCTGTTTGTGTCACTTCCTTCTGGAAAGTGGGGCTCTATGCGTTTCCTTGACAACACGTGCATCTGAGGGATCCGAGAAGCACAGGGTGTCTGGGCTGCCCAACTCCACCCATGCTGCTCTTCTTGTGATTCTAAGACAGTGGGAAAACTGCCAGTGGTTGCTTAGTAACTGCCACCAGCTGATTCTTCCCTACAGCCCCAGGAATGATAAGTAGGGAAATCTCCCCTGTTAAAGGCTTAGGGCAAATCAGAAACTTGCCTCGGGCATGGAGTATGGCCCAGCCCTTAATCACCATGGGTGACTTTCAGCAACTTTCTTTCAGGTAAGGAAGGACCTTAGTCTCCGAAATGTACAATTAGGTCAGGCTGAGTGATCTGTCAGGCTCTCCCAGCCCAGCTGCTCTGTGACTAAATGACAGCCAGCTGCTGGCTAGTCACTGCCTGGGAGGGCAGGGACTTACTGAATTCCTCAGGTCAGGGAGAGTATAGGTCACAGCTGCCCTTAGAAAGCTTCCAATCTAGTTAGATAGCTCCCAGGTTTGTGGCCCTCATATTAAGATTCTAGTGGCTTGAGGAGACTCCCTCGGAGGCAGTTAAGCCTTGGGAAGACTGAGAGGCAAAGAAGAAGGGCTTTACCATATAAATGTGCGTGGGGACAGGGGGCAGGATAGCTGCAAAGGCGCAGAGGCCCACGATGTGACAGTTCTGCTGGAGGGTATCTGAAAAGAGCTGCAGAAGCTAGCTGAGAAGTAGCTTAGGGGCAGCCTACAAAAACCCTGAATGCTAAGGTGAGGTGAAGTGCTTTCCCCCACCCTGGAGTCCTTGGAACCTTTTCATAGTTCTGGGAGGTTAAGTACGGTTTTAGGCAGATCACTCTGGTTATAGAGGTGGAAGACGGGTTCAGGCCAAGGGCTATGAAGAGGCTCTTGATGCTGCTCTGAAGGGAGGAAACATGGACAAGCTGAGCGGCATAGAATGCAGAGATAGAGCCCAGGGACACTGGTTAGATCAAGTCAGGGCTGGGCGACTCTCCTGCATTCGCGCATTTATTGTGCACCTACTATGTGCCAGGCAGTTCCGGCTTCTGTATGAGGTGGAGGTTTGAGGCTAGTGTATTGTGATTGGTAAGGATGCCCAGAGCTCACCTGCAAGTGTGTCCTTTCAGGAACCCGGCCTAAAGGCAGTGTAGGGTAAGTGGTGGGGAGGTCTGCTGAGAGCAGGAGGAGCAGCAGCAGCAGCAGCAGGGGACCTATGCTTAAGGCACGTCTGAATCCAGCCTAGGACAGGACCTGTTCAAAGTGCACGCTGGCGGGGGAGACCACGGGTGTACTTGGAGAGCAGGCAGTGGACAACTCACGTCTGGGTCGGGTGTAACCAGAGTCCCGGAAAGCCTAAGGGCAGTCCACTCCAATCTGAGCCCCTAGGGCAGCCGGGGGATGCTGATGGCCCCTTCCCAGAGCCGCAGGGCTGGGAAGAGCGGCTCCTGGAACGCGGCGCGGAAGGTGTGGAGGTGGCTCATGCCGTCCGACACGTTGTAGAAGGCGAGGACGCCGGCCTCGTAGTCCAGGAAGACGCCCAGCCGGTCGGGGTCGTCGCGGGGCCACAGGCGGCAGCGCTGGCTGTCGTGGAAGGCCCAGTACTCCAGGTCGTAGCGCTTGACGCACCAGGACTGGCGGTTGCAGCCCAGGCGCGCGGCGGCCGAGTCGCCCCGGCGCCGCAGGGAGGCGTAGGCGGCGCCCACCCACCAGCCGCAGCCCGCCTCCTGCACGTCCACCTCCCAGTAGTGGCGGCCGGCCGCGAAGCAGTCGCTGCCCAGCACCTGCCTCAGCGTGTCGAAGCGCAGCGCGGGCGAAGGTCCCAGGCGGCAGAGCAGGACGAGGCGCACCGTCCGGCGGTCCTCGGAGAGGCGCAGGCGCGCGTGCATCGTGTCCGGGTCCAGCGTGGGCGTGCGCGCGTCTGCGGGGGGCGGGGACAGCACGCACGCCTGGTGGGCGGGGCCAGCACTGCGCCCCCGCCCCTCACGCCCCCCCCTCCCCCCGTCCCGCCCCCGGGAAACCAACCCGGTTCACACCCGCAGACCCACACGTGCTCACAACAAGAAAATGGGAAGCCGAAACCGGTTTGGCCCAGTGGGTAGAGCATAGGCCTGCAGACTGAAAGGTCCCAGGTTCGGTTCCGGTCAAGGGCGTGTACCTTGGTTGCGGGCACATCCCCAGTAGGGGGTGTGCAAGAGGCAGCTGATGGATGATTCTCATCGATGTTCCTAACTCTCTCTATCCCTCTCTCTTCCTCTCTGTAAAAAAATCAATAAAATATATTAAAAAGAAAATGGGAAAACCCTGAAATCTCCCCTGGAGAAATGGAAAGCCACCCTTTTAACCCCGATTGCCTCTGGGGAGGTGACTGGCGGAACAGGGGAAGGAGAGCATAGTGGACTGTACACTCGTTATACCATTTGAATTTTGAACCTTGTCATTGGTTGCTAATTTCTAAAAATTTTACTAAAATAATCCCATCACTGTTAAGACCTGAGAGTATATCCTTTCAATGTTTGTACTTGCTGCTTTATAGCTTTCCTTTACATTGGTATCATACCCTCCATGCTTTTGGACAATCTTTTTTAAAAATTGAATGATGTAGGCGCGGCTGGCGTGGCTCAGTGGTTGAGCGTCAACCTATGAAACCAGGAGGTCATGGTTCATTTCCCAGTCAGGGCACAGACCCGGGTTGCTGGCTGGATCCCCACTTTGAGATGTGCAGGGGCAAACTGATCAATGAATCTCTCTCATTATTGATGTTTCTACTCTTTCTTCCTCTCCCTCTCTGAAATCAATAAAAATATTTTAAATAATAAATAAAAATTTACTGATGTATTTAGGAACATTTTACCACATCCAATAATATTCTTTCAAAGAGTATTTTAATGGCAAGCCTAATATTTTTATGTATGGGTGCATTATATTTAAACCTACTCCCTTTAAAATATTTAGGCTCTTTGGAAGGCTTTTGAAAACACTAACATGGTTACCTCTTCACGCATTTTATTATTTCTTTGGGATATATTCCTAGCAGAGGAATTGCTGGGTGAATGAAAATAACTTTGGTAAATATTGACAAACTGTCCTCCAAAAAGGTGGTAGTGATTAAACTTCCAATAATAGTTCTTGTTACAGACAAAATTTTGTGTTTGTTTTTTTAAGTCTAGTTCATAGGATATGTGGATATTCAGCTTCAGTAGATTCTGCCAAATAATTTTCTCAGTACTGTGTTAGAGTTTTCCATAGTGAGGTTTTAATCCTCACCTGAGTATATTTCCCATTGATTTTAGAAAGGAAGGGAGAGAAAGAGAAACATGGATGTGTGATAGAGATATTAATGAGTTGCCTCTCTTATGCACCCCAACCAGGATCAAACCCACAACCTAGGTATGTGCTCTGATCTGGAATCGAAACGGGCAACCCTTTAGGCAGACGATGCTCTAACCCAGTGGTCGGCAAACTGCGGCTCTCGAGCCACATGCGGCTCTTTGGCCCCTTGAGTTTTAGCAAAGGCCAGCTTAGGAGTACCCTAATTAAGTTAATAACAATGTACCTACCTATATAGTTTAAGTTTAAAAAATTTGGCTCTCAAAAGAAATTTCAATCGTTGTACTGTTGATATTTGGCTCTGTTGACTAAGGAGTTTGCCAACCACTGGTCTAACCAACTGAGCCACACCAGCCAGGGCTGTGTAATTTTTTAAGGGAAAGAAGATGCTCACAATGTATCAGTAAATGAAAACAGATTACAAAACAGTATGTATACTATGATACCATGTTTAAAAAAAAACCCACTTTCAATATATAGACATTTGCCAAAGAAAACAAAAAGGGCAAATACTAGTAATAACCTACTGCTACATATCTACTAAGGTGGATAGGAGAAGAATTCCCAAAGCTCTCCAGTGATTTATAGTTGATTTAAAAAAGTTTTTTGCTTTTCTTTGTTTTCTAAAATAAACATATTATTTTTACATTTATAAAAAGTAATAATAATGGTAAAAAAACAAACACAACAAGTTGGGTCTCTTAGGGAAAAAGGGTGGAACTCCATTTCATGACCCCCCCTTCCCACCAATGCACCCCACCCTCTCCACCCTGGGGGTCTTACATTTCAAGAAGAGCGATCGCTCTGGTGAGGGACTGATTTTCAACAGGGACTCCGGCTTGGTGCTCGAGAAGCTGGAGAGCTGGCAGTTCATGTCTGCAATGAATTGTAAGAAATGAGTGCCTGGTGCTCATGCAGGCAGCACACATTATAAAACATGCCCAAACTATTATAAAACTGGAGATTCATCTAAGCTCTCTCCCCCAAAACCATGCCTATGTAGGTGGGAAATACAAATCCACAGTCACAGGAAAACTCCAGGAAAGCACTCAGATCTGAGGAGAAATGCTCTCCCAGGGTCTGGAACAAACTCAGCAAAGGCAGGTCAGTGTGAGTGGGCCCTGAACGTGGGGAGGAGATGGCAGGCTCCAGAACCATCCTGAGAATCAACTAGAAACTAAACAAGTCAACGATGGGGCAACCTCAGAACAGAAATGCAAATTCCAGGATAAAGATGGAAAACAAGAAGTTAAAGGTGAGTCCTCACCTCAGTGTTTTCCTCTCCCCCCAACTCTCTCTGGGGGGGGGGGGGGGGGAATCAATAAACATATCCTTGATATCCTTGGGTGAGGATTTTTTTAAGAATCTGCTTTGACAAACCAGCTCAGGAAAATCCATGGCTCAGCCCCATTGCAGGCACCAGCGTCCCCAGTTGTGTTTCCTTGTCTCCGTGTGCAATGCCTTTCTGGCTTTCCCACTGTCAAAACCTTAGTGAGTCAGGCCCAGCTGAAGTCCCAGCTCCTCCAGCAAGGCTTCCGGATTTCCCATCAGAATCGCTCTTTCCTTCACCTGAGCTCCCTCATGAAGTAGGCCTGTGCTGTGGCCAGGGCCTGGCTCACCTCCCTCCAGTTCCCAGAGATGTTCAGTGTGTGCTTGCACCATTTCTGTCTTGCTTCCTCTCACCCCTTTCCTTCTCCTTTTCTCCTGATCTTCAGAGCTAGCACTGCCCTGCCAGCCCCATGTGACAAGGTAGCTTCCAAGTTTTTCCACCTCATCTCTCACCACTATGCCCAGTCACTATGGCCCCCTGTCTGTGCCCAGTCACTATGGCCCCCTGTCTGTGCCCAGTCACTATGGCCCCGTCTGTGCCCAGTCACTATGGCCCCCTGTCTGTGCCCAGTCACTATGGCCCCCTGTCTGTGCCCAGTCACTATGGCCCCCTCTCTGTGCCCAAAATCTCAAGTTCTTCCCTCCTCCTCCTCCTTCACCCCCTCCTCCTCCTCCCTCTTTATTCCACTTAACCTGCTTAATTTTTCTTCGGAGCCCTTATCGCTGACATACTCATTTGCTCTCTGTCTTCCCCTCAAAAGACTGAGAACCACAAAGGCAAGAGCTGTGCTTGGCACGGAATAGGGACTCCATAAATGCTCTGAATGAATCATAATAGCAGAGATGAATGAATGAATGAATGAATATTTCTGAGCACCTGCTTTGTTTCAGGAATCTCAGAGCTGGGCCCAAAATGGTTCTAGCTATCCAGGCATGTATGAGAGGCAGGAAAGGATCCATGTATGAAAAACACCCTGGGCAGCAGCAGCTGCCAGGCTGGGAGTGGCCAGGCCCAGAGCGGCCGGGTTGGGTGCGGCCAGGCCTGGAACAGCAGCTGCCAGGCTGGGAGCAGCCAGGTCGGGAGCGGCAGTGGCCAGACCCAGGACCTGGAGCAGCCAGGCCCGGAACAGCTCGCTCCTCGCCTGCCCCTGCCCCTGCCCCAAGGCTGCCTCTCAGACATGGCTGGAAACTTTTGCGGGAACTTGAGGGTCTGCTGAATCAAGTGATGAAGGCTTAGATCTGGATGTGTTGAGTTAGTATAGGGCTGGGGGGTTGATCTGTGAGTGCCTTGTGCGGGGCCTGGATGAGGTTGGTTGACCTATTTGGAAGTGTCTTTTGTGTGAAGTGTATCATTGGGCATGTGGAGGTATTATTGATATGAGAAAATGCTAAGTAACTGATTTACTATCTGAAAAGGGATTTACTATCGGGGAAAGGGAGGGAGAAAGAGACTGAACATAAACTGTGCACCTATGGCTGAGGACAATGGGGGAGGGAAAGGGAGCGGAGGGTGGGGTGGGGGGAACCTAGTGGAGGGGGGAAGAAATGAGGAACCTTTGTAATAATATGAATAAAGATTGATTTAAAACAAACAAACAAACAAACAAAAAAACACCCTGGGTAAAAAAAACAAAAAAAACCCAGGCAGGAGATGGGGCAGGCTCTGCAGAGAAAGGACAGAGGGGTAGAGTCCAGTGGCAAGAAGGGGCCCAAGGTGACGTGGTGAGCTTCCCGGTGAGTACGGCACAGCCGTGCTGGCCTGAAGGGACGGTGGGACTTGAGCAGGCGGAGGAAGAGGAGGAGTTGGTCCTTCGGGCTGGGACCCCGGAGCAGGCAGAGTGGAGGTGTGGAGGAATCCCAGGAACGACTGATGGCAGGAGCAGAGCAGTGTGGCTTTAAGGGGCAGAGCACGTCTCAGGAGGGGGAGGAAGAGAAGTCAGAAGGGTGGGGTGGGTGCAAGCCAGGAGTCCGGGACCACCCAGCCCAAGGCCTCTGTGTGGGAGACACGATTCTGGGTGGCCGTCTTCCCTGCTGCCTCTGGGTTAATGGGCACGGAGGGAGTAAGGGACCCAGAGCCGGTCACACGGGGACTTACTGTCCTTCACGCGAACCTCTAGTGGCGTCTGTATCATGCTCTGCATGGCTTCCACAAGGCCCTTGAAGAAGGTCTTGATGGGCGCGAAGGACTGGGGCACGGGGTGGCACAGCTCCCCCACGCTCATCTGCTTCTTCAGCTCCCGCTCCGTGGCCGTGAACTCCTGCGGGGACACAGGGGGGTCAGGTTGGCTCCACAGCTGCACCAGGAACAAACCCTGGCCAAGTGCAGGTCCTACCCCTGGCATCACCAGCCAGCCAGGGCCATACCCCCAGGAATGACCGCACAGCAGACTGTCATTCCTCAGTTCAAAACACTCCACTGGTCCCTATCTCCTTACAGGACAAAGTCTAAATCCCATGGCCCTTCATCAACAAACCCTGGCCTCCCGATCCAGCTGCATCTCCCAGCTCCCCTGCACCTGCAGCCCTGCTCACCTCCAGCCAGGCTGAACGCAGGTGGCTCTCCAGCCCGCCAAGCTCCCACATGCACGTGGTTCCTTTCTGCTTGGAACGTCTCCTCTGCTTCATGCTTCTGTCTATACCTCATCCTCCCACACACTGCTCACTATCACCTCCTCCTACAAGTCTTCCTTGATGCAGAACTGGACATTTCTCGGTCACACTTTTGCTAGCTCACTGTAGCTGTGTTGTAAATAACTGTTTCTGAGCATGAGTTGGGACCTGGGCAGACAGGTTGCTCCCTGAATATTTGATGAATGAATGAATGAGCAAGGGGAAGGAATGATGAATGGTGAAAATCAGTAGCTTTGGCACCAGAGAATTAAAAAAAAAAAAAAAAAAAAAAAAAAAAAGGCCGAAACCGGTTTGGCTCTGTGGATAGAGCGTCGGCCTGCGGACTGAAAGGTTCCGGGTTCGATTCCGGTCAAGGGCATGTGCCTTGGTTGTGGGCATATTCCCGGTAGGGGGTGTGCCAGGAGGCAGCTGATTGATGTTTCTCTCTCATCGATGTTTCTGGCTCTCTGTCCCTCTCTCTTCCTCTCTGTAAAAAAAATCAATAAAATATATTACAAAAAAAAAAAAAAAAAAAGATGACAAAGCCTTGAAACTCTACCTGTGATGGAGGAATAATAACATTCTTCTCCATGGCACAGCCCTTGGAATTAGCTATCTCTACGGGGTACCACTCTTTTATTTTTATTTATTTATTTAAAAATATTTTTTATTGATTTCAGAGAGGAAGGGAGAGGGAGCGAGATATAGAGATAGAAACATCAATGATGAGAGAGAATCATTGATCAGCTGCCTCCTGCATGCCCCACACTAGGGCTCAGGCCTACAACCCGACATGTGCCCTGACTTGGAATTGAACCACGACCTCCTAGTTCATAGGCTGATACTCAATCACCAAGCCATGCCAGCTGGGCAGGGGTTCCATTATTTTAACAGAAATAAACAAATGTATCAAAGTACAGTAAACATTGTGCATAGGACAGCACCTCGCCCAGAATTTTTTGTTAGGCTTATTTTTTATTTTGAATTTATTGGGAAGAATTGGTTAATAAAATGTATAGATTTCAGATAGACAATTCTACAATACATCAATATATTGTACTGTGTGTTCACCACCCCAAGTTAGGTCTCCTTCCATCACCATTTATCCCCCTTTTACCCTTTCTTCCCTCCCCCCAGCTCCCTTCCCTCCTGGTAATCACTCTGCTGTTGTCTGTGTCTTTGTAGGTTTGTTTTTATCTTTTTGTTAACTAACAATGAGACACAAGCTGAACTGACCAAAGCCACATAAAGGCACAAGAGTGGAAATATCCACCAGGGCCTGGCTTGGCTGGTTTTGCATTGACAAATTTATTTGCGTTATTTTACACTCAGAACCCATGCAAATCTGTGGTCGGACTCGGTGCCACCTTTATACCCTGTCTCGTCCCAGAAGCCCTTAAAGCATCTTTCAAAAGTTATCTAATCCTGCAAGATTTCCTTTTACGGTGGGAAAAGTGAAGCAAAGAGGAAACCAGGGTAAGAACGTGAACTGGAAAACAGAGCGAGGTGAGGCACAAATATATGCCATGAAGTTGCAGCCCAGCTACTTGAAACACATCTAGCTCTGAGCTTCCCAGAAGCCATAGCGAAGAAGGGAACAGGAAGAGGTGCGTGAGTGGGAAGCGATCAAAGGCACAGGTGACCGCCCCGGAGTATTGGTTCCTCAAAGACAGGAACACCATCCTTTACACATGCTTTCACTAAGTGCAGTACGAACATCACAGAGGCTGTTTCTTAGAGGCTCCCTCTTGGTGAAGGTGATGACCTGCAGGAGAGCCCAGTGGCCAAGGAGTTCCATTCTTCTCTCCCCCTTTGAACAAACTGCGACCCAGCTCTTGAGGATGCTCAGTAGCTGACAGATCCTCGCCTCTCCAGGAAGGGTGTTTCAATAAAGACTATAGACCCGTAGGTAGAGGCCTGGGCAATGATGCTTTGCAGCTTTAGAGTCAGAGAAACCTGGGTTCCGATCCCAGCTCTGCCACCTACCAGCTGGGTGACCTCAAATGAGTCACTTCACCTCCCCAAGCCTCAGCGTCTCATTTGTAAAGTGGGGTGAGAATATCCACTTTGCAGAGTTCTGGTCAACATTCAAGCTAAGATCCATGAGGGTGGCTGCAAATGTTATTTCATTAGTCCAAGATATTCATTATCTTCCTAACTATGTCTATTTCCTGACCACTTGTGTAGGGGCAGGAAAGTCTGTTTGCTAACAAGGCAGTTCTCTGTGTGTTAACTCACTGTGTAAATACTGTGCTCAATGCCATAGTAAACCACGATGAAATGTGGGTGGCGGCTGGCAGGTGGCAGCTGTGAGGCAGAAACTCAGCATTACCTGCAGCAGCTGGACAGGGTCGGACTCCTGGCTGATACTGCAAACTCTGTCGGAGAGACGGTTCAAGACATCAATTTGGTCCTCACACGACTTGATTTGCTCCCGGTAGGCCTGGAGGGTAAGCTGGGTATTCTTATCGATGAATTTCTTGGCCAGGGCTTCCTCTTCATCAAGTAGCAATCGGAGTTCAGTGAATTTCCCTGCCAGCCAGATTTTACTTGACTCTGCATGAGCCTAAAAAGAAAACCAGTTGCAGAGGATGTGAGTGCCAACCAGGAAACCCAGGATAATCAACATGCAAAAACTATGATGGCAAGGTCCAGTGAGGGACAAGATCAACTTACAAAAACTCGACCCGCCATACCCAATTGGAACATGCATGGAGAAACAAAGATCCTTTTAAAACAATGGATGGATGATATAGCAATGTATCTAGAAATAAAACTGGAAAAGAAAAAAAAAAAGCAGCAAAGACTTGATAAAGAAAAGTATAAAATTGTACTGAAAGACATAAAATAATCTGAATGAGTGGAAGAAAAAAAATATCCCTGGTTGTGGAAGATTCATTGCTACAAAGTGCTATTTGGCCCAGCCACGGTGACTTGGTGATCGAACGACAACCTGTGAACCAGGAGGTCACAGTGTGATTCCCGGTCAGGGCCACACCCAGGGTACAGGCTTGATCCCCGTAGCGGGTGTGTAGGAGGCAGTGGACCAAGGATTCTCTCTCATCATTGATGTTTCTATTTCTCTCCCTCTCCTTCTCTCCCTCTCCTTTCCTCTCTGAAATCAATTTATTTATTTATTTGTGTGTGGCTTTTTATTTTATTTTATTTTTGAAATCAATTTTAAAAATATTTTTTAAAAAAAGATGCTATCTATCTCCAACTTAGTCTAGAAATTGGGCACACTCCAAATAAGTCTTAACGAGCAGATTAAACAAAAATTAAATTATCATGGGGGAGGCCTGGCCAGTGTGGTTCAGTTTGTTGAGCATCATCCTGTGTACCAAAGAGTCGCTGGTTTGATATCTGGTCAGGGCACATGCCTGGTTTGTGGGCTCGATCCCCAGTGGGGGAGACTAAGCACAAGAAAAGTAAAAAATTACTTTAAAAACATCAATGAAGGATGAGTTGCCTTATTAAATAACAAACAGACTGCTACAGGATTTAAAACCATACAGCTTAGGCATAGACAAAATGATCAGGAACACAGAATAAAGAGTTATAAGTTATAAAAGATATATATATATATATATAGTATACACATACACACACAATAATGGTGGCATTTCAAATTACTGAAAGAGTGAACTATTCAACAAATGGTATTAGTACAATATGCAATTAACCATGTATTTGATAAAAATTTTAAGTTAGATTCTTATCCTATATATAAAAACAAATTCAGACAGAACCCTACCTATGAAGTAGTCTTGCCAACAAGTGTGAACCTGAATCAAATCAAGCCTCTAGACCTAAATAAAAGTTTCAGCACAGAGGAGAGAGGAACGTGTGAGCCATCAACCTAAGAAATTCATCAAGCAAGTGTATCTCGAAACTTTATTTCACTCCTAAGTCAAACAAACGAAATGTGACACAAGACAACTGGAAATGTGACCACTGAGTGGATAGGATAGTTGATGACATTAAGAAACTATTGTTAATTTTCTTTCGTGTGATGATGATGCTATGGTTAGGTACTTCTTAAAAATGAGTCCTCTCCTGGCCAGTGTTGCTCGATAATTCAACAGTCAGCCCGCACACCGAAGGGTCTCCCACACATGCCCTGACAGGGGACAGGGATCAAACCTGCAACCCAGGCATATGCCCTTGACCGGGAATCAATCTGAGACCCTCCGGTGTGCAGGGCATGCTCTAACCACTGAGAAACCCTGGCAGGGCTACAAAATAATCTTTATTCCCCCGCCCCCAAACAAAACAAAACAAAAAAAAAACCACACAATTTTAATGGCAATACACATTGTTATAACTAAAAATATCCCCAAGAAAACTTCAGGTGCAAGCATATGAGGCTGATTATGCAGAATGATTCAAAGTTTTAAAAAGGGGGAGAGGTAGAATTCTGGCAATGAAACAGGAAGTGCGGTCTGGTTTAGGCTGCATCCATTCAAAGTGAAACTGGATCCCAGATTGAACTGAACTGAGGTCTGGATGCAGCTGGATGCAGCTGGATGGGGCTGGGGCTGGGTCAGGGCCTGACAGAGTCTGGCTGAGGAGATAGATCTAAGGACTGTGAGGGAGAAAGAACTTGAGCAGCGACAAGGCCCCGGCCTGGGAGGTGGAGGGTTTTACACATGGACTGGAAAGAACTGTTTTTGCTGAAAACTGAATGACTGTGGACAATCCTGTGATGACTGCCTGCCTCTCAGGGGCGTCCCACCAGGGGAGGCAGTGTGCTGGCCACAGTAGCTATGACATCCATGCACGCTGATACATGGCAGCGGCTGGCGGGAAGGGGCAGAGGAATGGCCACCCCCAGCAGGGTGGTGGAGACCAATGGCATCGGCAGGGACAACAGCGAGGCCTGGCCGAGCCCTCAGCTTCCTAGTCTCAATCTGGCAAAGGCTGGTTCATGTCACCCGCGGTCCTTACAGCTCTGGTGGGTCACAGGGGAAGGGACAAAGCCGGGACGTGAGGATGTGTACACACTCCCCAGGGAGCTCTGTTCCCTGGCCCCCCTCTCCCCCTCCACTCTGCTCAGGAGGCAGCAGGGCTGAGTCCTGCAGGCCGGGATCCCCCTTCAGGCTGGGTTTGGTTTGGTCAATGGGAGGAGGAACTAGAGGGGATCAGAGGGTGAGGTGAACAGCCAGGGTATCCCGCCTCCCTGCGTTCCCTCCACCCTCGCGCTCCCACAGGACGCCCCTCTGGTTCCGGCGCCTGCCCAGGTGGCCCTGGACTCTGCACTCTGCTGATACCACCCCTCCCTTTGGCCCCGCAGCCCAGGGTGAAGGTGCTTCCTCCTGGGGCCAATTGCCTCACCACGCCCTGGCTGGCTTCCCTGTCCCTTCCGTGCCTGTCACCATTCCCTGCACCCATCTCCTCTGGGTGAAACCCTCGGAGTGGCTTCTGTCTTTCTGGGTGGACTTTGGTAAACACAGCCAATGCCCAGGACCACCTCTACCTTCCTATGTGACCAGTGACAAGGTATTTCCTCTGCCTGAGGGACCCATCTCCAAGGCCTTTCAGCCTGACACGGTGCACATTCTAAATCCCTCCTAAGTCTGGATTCACCGGACATTAACCAAACGTAAATATATATGGTTCATGTCACCCGCTATAAAGGTATCAAAAGCTCCTTGTGGAATATTCGGGAGATTCAGAAAAAACACACACAACCACTGCATACTGGCATCCTATCCCAGTTAGAATAAAAAGTCAGGGTAGCAGGCAAGGATTGAATGCTCCCTACACCTGCATGTCTGAGCCCCCCCGAGGAGCCATGATGGGGACAAAGAGCCCAACAGCAAGGATGTCAGAGGAAAGCATTTCATGGGTGTGGGTTGGGGATTAATGACCTCCTTGATTGTCCTATAAAAGGGAGTGGTTGCACCGAAACCGGTTTGGCTCAGTGGTAGAGCGTCGGTCTGCGGACTGAAAGGTCCAAGGTTCGATTCCAGTCAAGGGCATGTACCTTGGTTGTGGGCACATCCCCAGTAGGGGGTGTGCAAGAGGCAGCTGATCGATGATTCTCTCTCATCGATGTTTCTAATTCTCTAGCCCTCTCCCTTACTCTGTAAAAAAAAAATCAATAAAATATATTTTTTTTTAAAAATGGGGGGAGTGGTTGCGTAGGCCAGGCTCATCGGCTTCTGAACAGCAGACTTTGGACATTGTACGATCTTTATTGATTTTAACTTATTTACGAACTGTCTTGTGGGCTAATTTTCAGGCGAATGGCCTTTGCCTTGCTACTGCCCCGTGTAAACGAGTGCGGACCTGCCCGCTTGTCCCCAGGCCCTGCTGCCACGGACCGCGGGCTACAGCTGGGCAGAGCGTACAGGAACCCTCACAAAGGCTGTGCCTGTGGCACTGGAGGCATCACGTCTGGACATGTGTCCCAGAGGAAGCAAACCAACGTGCCAGAAATGTTCCCTGCAATGCTATTTTACTTAGTGAAAAGCTGGAAATGACCTAAATGTTCAACATTAGGAAAACGACTTAATGAGTTAACTCCCCTGCCCCCCCCCAAACAAACAAAAATAAATAAACCAACAAAAACCCACAATCAAGCAGACGACAAAAAAGGAAATCCTCAGGTGCCCAAAACAGAGGGAACTTGATGTCAGAGCCGTGGGCAGAAGAGGAGCTGAGTGACCCCCGGGAGGGATGGGCGTACAGGTGTGTGTGACACACCGCACCGGGGCCTGCTCGGTCAGGGGGGCTCTCCGGGGGATCCTTGGCCCTATTCCAGGAGGACGGGGAGGGAGGCCTCCTGCATCAGGCCAGAGTCACAGAGAGCTGTTCCATCCAGGAACCAGGCACCAGAAAAACTGGACCCACTGCCCTGGGGAAGCAGCAAGGAATCTTGTCATCCATCCAAGGTCTTGGGGGAAAGAGAGTCACTAGCAAAACAAACCAACAAACCCAGTAACAGGCTTGGAGTCTAGATTTGCGGAACCTCAAAACTAAAAAACTCACATGACAACCGGTCTGGAACCGCCGAAACCCAGCGCCCACCCCAGACGCTCACCTGCAGGGCTCTGCAGGGGCTGCTCACACCCAGGGCACAGGGGCACCGTGGAGATGCCTACTGAAGGCCAGGGGACGACACAGACTCCAGGTCACACAGGGAGACCAGCCACTGGGCCTCCCTCCATCCTGGATACTATACCAAAGAGTATTCGTATATAGAAAAAAAAAGTCTCAAAATGTGAACTGGTGGTTGGCCTGGAGTGGCAGAATTATAGCTGCATTTTTAAAAATCTGCTGTTGAGCCCTAACTGGGTTGGCTCAGTGAATATAGCACATCGGCCTGCAGAATGAAGGGTCCCAGGTTCAGTTCTGGTCAAGGGCATGTACCTTGGTTGTAGGCACATCCCCAGTAGGGGGTGTGCAGGAGGCAGCTGACTGATGTTTCTTTCTCATCAATGCTTCTAATTCTCTATCCCTCTCCCTTCCTCTCTGTAAAATTCAATAAAAAATATATTTTAAAAATCTGCTGTTGACCAGGAACTGAAATATAAATGCCCACAGGAGATGGCCTGGTAACTTAGGGAGGAGAGTGGACAAGCAATCCATGTCCTTCTCATGAGCATGCCCATTGCTCAGCTCTGACAGCTCCATTGGGGATGTAGGCCTAGGGGGGGCACAGCCTCCCTCTTTTCTACATCTAACTCTTTATACAAATACCTCCCAGCTTTCACATGCCCATCACTAATTTTTCCAAGAGTCGCTTAGGTGTAAGTCCAATAACACATGTTCAGGATTGTATGCTGAAAACTACAAAATACTGATGAAAAAAAACAAAGACCTAAATAAATGAAGAGATATACCATGGTCATGAATCCTCCAATGCTGTAATTATAGAGATAAGAGAATAAATGAGTGACTGCTAGGAGTCAGGGATTGTTGGGGACTGGGTGGGGTGACTACACGGGTGTTGCAGGAGGTAGATCTTGGTAGTGATGGAACCGTTCTGTATTTTGGTTACAGCAGAAGTTACTCAAATCTACACAGGTGATAAGTTGACCTAGAACATACACACACACACACACACACACACACACACACACTGTCAATTTCCTGGTTTTGAAATTGTACAAGAGTTAGGTAAGATATAACCCTTGGGGCAAACGAGGTGAGAGGCACACAAAACTTACTGCCTTGGCAACTTCCTGTGAATCTACAATTATTTCAAAACAAAGGTATGAAAATCAGGGAAAAGGTTAAAAGAAAGGAAACCATTCCTTGGATTAAGCTGAAACCTGCCCCCTTAGACTGTCCACATGGTGCCTCACTCTCGTCTTGGGGGCCCCGCGCTGTATCTGCTCGGAGACTTGCAGACCGTGGGCCTGTGCCCCCATCCGGGTCTAGCTCAACCGCCCAAAGCACCGCCCCCACCCCATCAGGTGCCTCAACTTTGTTTCCAGATCCTTTTGAACGGATTTATTCCCCCAAGATCGAAGCCCTCCTCTTGAAGATTTGAGGAACACTATTAACGATTAAGCCAAGGCCAAAGTATTTGTGGAATATATTTATACCTCACTTTCCCTTTCACAACTTTTCTCAGCAAACTGAGTCCTGTCGTCAGTCATCTTTCAGTTAATGGATGCTGGGCAGACAGGGAGCCAATTCCGTGGCCTGGCTTGGCCTCGGCATTCCCACACCTTAGATTAAGCAGAACCCTGCTCTTCTAGACCCTCTATGTGGATACTAATCTTGCCGTGGCCGCTCCACGCTGTATCTGCTCGGAGACTTGCAGACACTGAACCTCCGCTGTGGGTTACTGCCACAGTCCTAGCCAGCCACTCAGAGGCTCATCCAGTTCTCAGGGGGCAGGCCCTGCGAGGGTACCCTACCCGAGCCCTCACTCCCAGGAGGGGGCGCTGAAGCTGGCTGAGTCCACATAAGAGGCCCTGGAGACAGAGCAACGTTTTCACAGTCAAAATGGCAGCTCATGATACCATCAGCCCTGACTTCCCACTGAAACACAGAGGGATCCATGTAAACAAACGGCATTAGGAAAGGAGCACGCCTAAAGAAAGCAAATAGGTGTGGAGTACATTTATGCCTCCCTTCTCCTTTCACCATGGCAGTGAAACGTAAGCCGTCTGTGTGTTCCTTCAGCTGCATTTTGCTCTGGTTAAGGTGCCTGGGGGGTGGAGGACTGGTCTCTCCAGGAGAATGGCCTTGGCGATGGTGAGAGAAAGGCTGCTCCCCATCCTGTGAGGTATTATGGGGCAAGGCTGGGGTGTGGGGCGGAGGCAGAGTCACCACCAAGCTAATGGAACAGCAGCCTCAGGCCCCTCCCCTGTCAGGGTCTTATACCTGATATTGTGTTCTTTTGCTTACAAAGGGTCCCCTAAATCAGTGACTTTCAACCTTTTCCATCTCATGGCACACATAAACTAATTACTAAAATGTGGTGGCCCAACCAAGAATATACTTTTCTGCCGATGGGGGGTGGGGGGGGGATGAGGTATAATTTTCATTCATGCACACCGGATGGCTGTTGTCGAGTTGGCCGTTGTCAGCTTTTCATTTGGTAATCTGAGGGGAGAGAGGCCCATGCCTTTGCCTGAATAGTCAGATATTGCACGTTTTAAAAATTCCTGGGGCACACCCGTTGAGAAGCCCGAGGTCCCTCCAGACCTGATCTCCTTTGCGGCTGGTTTTCATTTTTCCTCGGCTGCATAGTCTGTCCCGGGAGGAACGTGGACACCTCAACCAAGAAGAAGGAAGAAATGCCCACTTGCCTGGAGCTTCTCAGCAGCATCTTCTATCTGGTTCCTGTTGCCAACTTGCTGCTGCTTCTTGGTTGCCAGCTGCCTTAAGTAGTGTTGCGTGAGCTTCTGTAGGCGAAGGAATCAGGGGAAAAGGCTTAATACGGTCACTTTCACGGCAACAAGGCTCTGCAGGGGTCGTCTCCTCTCCCCCCTGCCCAAGGTCAAGCAGCAAGTGAGCGGGTGAGCTGTGATGGAGGGTCACTCTGGCCCTGAGGGGTCCTTCAAACCATGATGCCACCCCCCCCCCCTCTTTCTAAGACAAACCTGCTGGTGACCTGATTTTCCAGTCCCTCAAGTAGGATCTTGAAACCTATTGATTTTAACTTATGTATGGGTTAATTTTAAGCAGCCTGGGACAGGGGAAGAGAATTCACTTACACAATAAGTATTAACTGAGCGCCTACTACATGCTGGGCCTTGTTCTGGGAGCTGCCCTTGTGGGACATGCATTCCAGAGGGGCCTGTGGCCCTCCGGCCTGGACTGGGGTTCAGAAGATTGAATGCATGAGAGATCTGTGGGGTTCGTGCTCCCCTCTCCCTCCCACCTGAAACGGCTCCCTTTCCTGCCTCTGCTTTTTGCATTAGCCACTTTCCCAAAGGCTGCTCTGTGACCCTTTCCACACCAGTGGGACTTTACCCCACCCCCTCCCCATTCGGCAGGCCTTTTGCTCCACTGCTGGGCCCCGTCGGGAGCTTCCCCAGGGCAGGCCTGCTCCCTTCCTGGCTCCCCCCTACAAGCCAGAGGATGACCTAGAAGTCTTTGCTGAGCCAAACAATTACTAGGGGCTGCCCACCTCAAGCGGGCCACAAGAGTTCAGAGCCCCTGCCACTTTTAGAATTAAACACGGGGGAGTGCTCCCAGGTGAGAATGGACCCCGTGGGAGCAGTCCACCGCATGGATTCCTGGGTTCAAGACCTGCCTCTGCCTCCAGAGCTTTCCTTTTCTTATCGATAAAATGGCCGTTCCAGCTCCCACCAGTTACGCTTGTGGAACTGGGGTGGGTGTGGGAAGGGAAGGGGAGGAGGGGCAGAGTAGGTAGAGGATGCTCCTATAGTGCAGGCAGGCAGTCCACGCCCCTCTCTGTGAGCTCCGGGAGACAAAACCGGAGGGAGTTACCTAGCGTCCCAGGCTACCAGGCTGTTTACCAATAGAAAGGGATTTTACTCTGGTTACAAAAGGCAGGTTTCCTCCTGGCCCCAGGGCAGTGTGGTGGATGCGCCCTGGCGGACGAGGTCCATATGGGAAACAGCCGAGGCTCCAGCGTCCTCATCCCAAACCCACCTGTCCTGCCTGCAGGTTGGCTGGTGGCCTTAGCCCGGACGTGGCCATTCGCTCTCATCAGGAACAACAGCCAGGTCGGCCGCCTGGTTGCCTTGGGGTTTCGGGGTTCCTCCCCGGCCTTGGCGAGGGGACCCCGGGCCGCCCCGCCCCCGCCGCCGCCCCGCGCCCCGCGCCCCCGCGCCCCACCTGCACGCGCGCCGCCTCCTCGCGGGCCAGACCCACCGGGTGGCCGCGGTGCGCGCCCAGCAGCGGGCAGAGCGCGCACACGCAGCGCCCGCAGCGGCGGCAGAAGAGCTCGGCCACGCGGTCGCTGTGCTCGGGGCAGCGCCAGCCGCACGCGTCCTCCGCCTCGGCGGCGCCCGGGGCCCCCGGGGGGCGGTGCGGGGCCCCCGCGCCCGCCATGCACTCCCGCGGTCGGTGCGGCGTCGCCGGAGCCGGAGCCGCGCTGGCGGGGAATCGAAAGCGGACGGCGGGGCGGGGCCCGGGTCTGGCCGGCCCCGCGCGGGGATGGGAGATGGCGGCGGGCCGCGGCCGGGGGCGGGGTGGGGGGACCGGGTTTGCATCATCACCTCCTCCTGACCCGCAGGGCGCCCGCCCGCCCCCGCGGTCTGAAGCCGGCGGCGCGGGAGGCTCAGGCCTGGTCCAGCGGCTTTGTGCCTGGCCTGGAGGGGGTGGCCGCGGCAGAAATGGGGGTCCGCTCCTGCAATACCTTACATACCTTAAAAATAAAGCAACCAGTCCTGGCCGGTTTGGCTCCTTGGATAGAGCGTCAGCCTGCAGACTCAAGGGTCCCAGGTTTGATTCCAGTCAAGGGCATGCACCTGGGTTGCATGCACATCCCCAGGGGGAGGTGTGCAGGAGGCAGTGGATTGATGTTTCTCTCTCATCGATGTTTCTATCTACTCCCCTCCCTTCCTCCCTGTAAAAAAAAAAAAAAAAATCAATAAAATATGTATTTTTTAAAATTAAAACAACCAGCAAAATGGGGAATAGCAAAGGAATTGCAATTCGGGACAAGCAAGCTGTTGCAAAAACCATAGGCAAGTCCGGCCAGGAGGACAATGGGAGAGGTGGCTGAGGAGAAAAGCCCATGAGAGGAAAGTGGGGTTCAGGGCACTGTCTCATTGGCTGATTTGCTGGGCGGGAAGGAAATCTTCCTCTGAGGGAGGAGTAAGGGAGTAACCCCTTGCATTGATAATTCTTCCCCTTGGGGTCTGGGTTCACTTAGAGGGGTAGTGCCTGAGGGCTCCCCCTTCTGGCCTCCATAATCCATTTTAAACGAGGGTTCCCTTTATGTTCACACTCCCATTGGGCTAACTGGAAGCGGATGGGCTCCCCCACCCTTTCACCCTTTAGCCAGGCTAGCCTAGCCCTGTCGATGGCACCAAGTGAACTGTGGCCTCCCGGAGTGGTGTGCATTTACCTGCACTTCCCACTTCCCCTTGAGTCCCTCTTGCCATTTCCCCAGGAGAAATAGCCATTCCCACAGTTTTTTTATTTTTTTTATTTTTTATTTTTATTTTTATTTATTTTTTGTATTTTAACACAATTTTATTTATTTATTTTTTTTAAATCAATCTTTATTGTTCATATTATTACACAGGTTCCTCGTTTCTTCCCCCCTCCACCAGGTTCCCACCCCACCCTCTGCCCCCTCATCCTCATCCATTGGTGCACAGTTTATGTTCAGTCTCTTCCTCCCTCCCTTTCCCCGATAGTAAATGCCTTTTCAGATAGCAAATCTGTTACTTAGCATTTTCTCAAATCAATAATACCTCCACATGCCCAATGATACACTTCATACAAAAGACATTTCCAAATAGGACAACCAGCCTCATCCAGGCCCCACCCAAGGCACTCACAGATCAACACCCCAGCACTATACTAACTCAACACATCCAGATCTAAGCCTTCATCACTTGATTCAGCAGACCCTCAAGTTCCCGCAAAAGTTTCCAGCCATGTCTGAGAGGCAGCCGTGGGGCAGGGGCAGGTGAGGAGCGAGCTGTTTTGGGCCAGGCTGCTCCGCATTCCCACAGTTTTATGAAACACCCTGGAAACTCCAGTTGCCCCAGGTTAAGGTCGCAGCCTCAATGGAAGGTACTAGTAAATGGGTACAGCCACTATGGAAAACAGTGCGGAGGTTCCTCCAAAAATTAAAAACAGAACTACTGTATGACCCAGCAATCCCACTTCAGTATGGTGAAGAGATAGCTGCACTCCAGTGTTCATTACAGCCGTATTCACAATAGCCAAGAGATACAGAGACACGGAAGTGCCTCAATGGGATGAATGGATAAAGAAGATGTGGCACAAGCATATACAGTGAAATGTTACTCAGACCTGCAGAACAGAAGTCCTGCCACTTACACCATGGATGAGCCTGGAAGTCATTATAACAAGCGAAGGAAGCTAAACAGAGAAAGACCTAGATGGTATCTCTTACACTGAGTGGCCAGATTATGATGATCTCTGAACGCATAATAATCTGGCCACTCAGTGTAGATCCTATACAATAAAAGGCTAATATGCAAATTGTCCCCTCGACCAGGAGTTCGACCAGCAAGCAGGCCGGCCAACCTCCCATGTCCCCTTCCCCCCTGGCCAGGCTGGCTGGACCCCATCCATGTATGAATTAATGCACCGGGCCTTTAAAATACACACACACACACACACACACACACACACAGAGTGGCCAGATTATTATGTGTTCAGAGATCATAATAATCTGGCCACTCAGTGTATATGTGGAATCTAAAAAAATAAAGTAATTGATTGTGATGATCATATCACAGTGTATGGATATATTAAACCATCACATTGTGAAACTTAAAAAAAAAACACATGCAACCTAAGTACGTACATTTTTTATCAATCATATCTCAATAAAGCTGGGGAAGGGGGCAGCTCTCATCTATAAGGCCCTTGGCTTTTTTTTTTTTTAAATCCTCAACCAAGGATATTTTCCCCATTGATTTTTAGAGAGAGTGTAAGGGAGGCAGGGAGTGGGACAAAGAGAAAAATCATGTAAGAGAGATGTATTGATTGGTTGCCTCCCTCACGTGGCTCCAGTCATGGGGATCAAACCTGCAACCCAGGCACATGCCCTTGACCAGGAATCAAACCAGAGACCCTTCTCTGCATGGGCCAGCATTTGAACCACTGAGCAGCACCGGCCAGGGTGAGGCCCTCGACTTTTAATACCCTTGATCTCTGCCCTGTCTGTGCTCTAATTTTGGCTTGTTTCCAGGCCAGGGAACAGGCAGTTTTATCTGCTTCTAACACACTTCCCCCAAATGCTCACTGCCCTGCTTACTCCTATTTACCCTTCAGGTTTCTGCCCAAATAGCACCTGTTCCAGGAAGCCTTCTTTGCTTCTCCTCCCGAAGCAGCCGCCATTTCCCCTATCCCGGCCCTCCCTCTCTCCAACCATGTCTTAAACCTTCAGAGGGCAGGGACAAATTCTGCTTTACCTGTTTCCCAGCCTGGAAAAGCAGGTGCTTGGTGGTTATTGGTGGAACAAATCAAGAAAAGGAAGGTCCCATGGATTAAAATGTGTAGGCAGATACTGTTTATTTTGTTATATTCTTTCCATAGCACGATTTTCACTTTTTATTATTATTATTATTATTAATTTTTATTTTTACAAAGGTACAAGGAATTTCATGAACAATATTAAAACAATCAAACTGTCCAGGCACAGTTTTGTAGGAAAAGCACAGATCAATTTCTGACTTCCGGCGTCCCTCTAGGATACTCAAGTTTTGTCCCAGGAAGAGCAATTACTGTAGCGCTAAGGTGGAGATGCTAAAGCCCATCTCCCAGGGCTGTCTTCGTCCTCGGGAAGTTCCTGAGTCAGCAGTCGGGGCGCCCAGGGCCTGGAGGGGAAAGACCAGTGCACATTCCGTGGCCCTGAGCGCAGGGGGCTGGCCCTGCAAGTCCCACGTCACCCGTCAAGAACATCAACAAAAAAGTAATTTTTAAAAAATGGCTTTAAAAAAATATCTGATAAAAATTACCTATCCCGCTCCCTTGCTGTGAAATAATTTAAATAATTTACTCTAGATGTAAAAAAGGAAAAAAAGAAAAGGAAAGAAACCGTTTGTTCATGCTGCCTTTGCATTGTTTCGCCGCAGGGTGAGGTCTGGGCCCCTTTGGGGTGGAGAGAGTCTGCGTGACATTCAGGAAGCTCCCCAGACTCAGCCCCACCTCCACCACGGTGTAGCCAGTGCCTATGGGCACGAACGTTTCCTTATTCTTGAAGGCTAACCTTCCCTCCTGAACGTGGGGGTACTGGTGCCTGCCTGACCCGCGTTAGAGTAAGATGTGCCAGTGCGTGGAGGGAGGCTGGAGGCTTTGTAAACCGTGACGTGCTGTTTATTCCCAGATAAGGCGGGAGAGATGACCCCATCCAGAACTCTGCTTTCCAGACAACACCGAGGATTTGGTCTTTGGCAAGCGTGGCGGCCCCCAGCGGCTGAGTAAATGGTGGACGAGACAAGCAGCCGGGTGTCTGGAATGTGCAGCAGACTCGGGAACTCAGCCACGGCTAAGGGAGGGCGCAGTCAGAGGGGACAGGGTCGGGGGCAGGGACCTGGTGGAGGGCTCAGAACCATGCTTCCTGCTTTTAGCCTCAGAGGACTTACAGGACAGAGTTGGAGTCCCAGCACCTGCCTCGTGCTCCTTGTCCTCATCGTTAGTGTCGACAGCTACAGAAGCATTAGCCCGAGCGGTCTCCACCCCAGGTATTGCAGAATCCCATGGGAACTTATGAAAACCTACACAAGGCCAGGCCCTACTCTGCTGACTCAGCTTCGATGGGTCGGGGGGGTTGGGCCTGGCTATTCGTATTTCTTGAATGCTCCCAAAGGGATTCTAATGGGCAGCCTGGGCTGACGCCTCCCAGGCCAGGGGGCCTCCTGCAGTCCCCATCCCACCTCCAGCAGCAGGACCCCGTGCGAGGGGCAAGCGTCCTTTGGTCAGGAGGCACAGTTGTCTCTAGCTGAGCCACTGTATTGACCACCAAGAAAGAGAGAACCTCAGAGAGGCGCTCAGAACACAGATTCACAAAGGAGGGACAGAAAAAGCACAGGTTGGAAGGGAACTTTAGGGCCATGTGGTCACTTCCTTGCCTCGTATCATCATCCTCCTGCACAAGCCCTCGCCGCTGGGCAGCCAGGGGGTGCTGCGGGCAAACTGTCAGCACTGGGCTCCCTACGTCCCTCTTCTGTTACCTTGAACATACACCGGCCCACGTCATCCTGGCAGAGGCAGGCCCTGAGACCTGAGGGCTTTGGTGGCGGTAGGATCTGAGCAATGCCCTGAGGCTCGTATCCTACACCAGGGCATGTCTAGCCACCAGGGCTGATCCTGGCTGAAGAGAGGATGGTTGTCCTCCTCTCTGTATTCTAGAACTGGGCTGCACCTTGACTTCTTTCCCTGAAGCTAACCTCCCTCTGCACCTCTGCCAATGTCTTGTGAGTCCCCACAGCAAAATCAGCTCACCTATCGGTGATTTCCCTTAGGCCACGGCCAACGTTCCTTGTCTCTGGGGGTAGATCCTAGGGCCTCCTTATTCAGATGGAGAAACTGAGACCGGGGAGGGAATGACATGAGGCCACTGAGGTGCCGCTTAGGACAGAACCAATGGGTTCCTGCTCTGTGGGCTGAGAACGGTGTCAGAGCAGAAACAGACAGGCAGACAGACAGATAGACAGACAGGCCCAGGAGAGTAGAGGCTTAGCCCAGCCACAAACTCTTTAGGGACCCGCATCACCAGCCTCTCTCTGGGCCTTAGCTTCTCCACCTGTAAAATGAGAAAGGTGGGCTTTCAAACTTCTGAATTTTTTGGAGTCGAGGAATTGTGTATTCCATCAAAGTCCACATATGTAAGACAGAAAGGAGAGCTGACCCGTCAGGTGCGGGGGTGAGCGGTACAGCCTCCTGCTTAGCCTGCCCCAATTCTATAGACCACAGTTTGAAAACCACAGGCAGGTGTGCCTCCTACGTCCTGGTCGCTCTAATTTTCTACAAAGTTAGAGCTTACCACGCACCCTTACAGACAGAGTCAAGCAGAAGGCGAGGCGTCCCCTAAAAAGAGTCAATGCAGACACCGTTGTTTCGAGAAGGCAAGTAGAAAACGGCACCATGTTCCCCTGGAAACCTGCGGCGACCGAGTTTCATTTTCTGGTTAAAAAAAAAAGACGTAGAAATAGCGGTTGTTCTCGGGGGGCTTGTGGTTTGGTCCTGGACCTCCCCGTGGAGCCAAGTGGTGTCCCTGAGGGCGAAGAGGGCCCAGGCCTCTGCTCAGGACCATTCCGAGCTCATCCGCAAGTTTTTGATCTCCAGCTCCAGCTGCTTGGCCTGGACCTCGCGCTGGGTCACCAGCTCCCGGAGCCTCCGGATCTCCTCCTGTTGCCGGTAGAACATCTGCAGCAGCTGGGAGAGCACAGAACGGAGGGAAAGGTGACGTCAGTGCCCCGGGACCTGAGGGGGCAGGACCCCGGCAGAAAGGGCTCAGAACGGTAGAGATGATTATATTAACGTGGCTGAGGCCTAACAAAAATCTTGTTTCCTTCACCTACTAAATGAAATTAAAAGACGACGGTTCAGACTTGTTTGTGTGCTGATGTTGTTTTGTGTGTGTGTGTGTGTTTCTTTTTTTTTTTTTCCTCCTTAGATTCCCCCATGGCAGTGGTCGGCAAACTGCGGCTCGTGAGCCACATGCGGCTCTTTGGCTCCTTGAGTGTGGCTCTTTCACAAAATACCACGGCCCGGGAGAGTCTATTCTGAAGAAGTGGCGTTAGAAGAAGTTTAAGTTTAAAAAAACGTGGCTCTCCAAAGAAATTTCAATCGTTGCACTGTTGGTATTTGGCTCCGTGGACTAATGAGTTTGCTGACCACTGGCCCCATGGGATGGAGGAAAGGATGTCTGGCCCTGATGTCCGGAGATTGGAGTTTTCACCACCGCTAAACTGTGTGACTTGAGGCAAGTTACTCACCCTTTCACTTCCTGCTCTGGGAAATGGGGGTCAGAACACTAACGTCTGCATTCCCACAGCTGCTGTGCCAGGTGTGGGGTGCTCCCCCTAAGTATAAGAATCTTCGTTATCTGCTCACAACGGCCCTGTCACTGCCCCCACTTCACCGCTCCGGAAACTGAAGCTAAGGGAGACGCGGCCCCTGGGGCCGGCGTCCTGCAGGTCACGCTCAGGAGGGCTAGGGTGAGCAGCCCTCTGTGAGACGGCAGCCCTTGAGTTTTACCCACTAGCCACTGACTCCTGGGGCTGCCGAGAGAATGCACAGGTGATGACACATCAGTGCCCACCGCGGGGCCTGGCACACAGCTGGCACTTAACAGATGCTGGCTCTGAAAGCACAAATAAAGCTAATACCCACGAAGCCAAACCCTTGTCCCTTTACAGATGGCTCTCCACCCTCTCTCTCCGTCACCACCAGGGCATACACTGGTGCTCGCTGCCTGTTTGCCGAGTGAATTAAAGTGAACTTCCAGCAAGTAGCTGGCCAGGCCACACAGCTGGTTATCTGTCTCACCCATCATTTCTCTGCCCGCTTCTCCAGCCCTCTCCCTCCCAGTGCAGGCACCCCCACCCCCATTCCCACCTCGTTCTCCGTCTTTGGTGGGGGGCATTCGAAGATGTCAAAGCCGTTCGTGAGCCACGCTTTCTTCTCCTCCAGCCTGTGTCCTGCCGTCCACCGTGGCGCCTTCTCCTCGGGCAGAGAGAAGGGCCTCCGGCCGTCGGCTGCAGCCGGCACTGCCGTCTGGTCCAGGAGGTGAGGCGAGGTGGGGGGCAGGGAGTTGGAGAGAGGTCTTTCCGGGGGCAGAGGCCGAGGGCTCAGCAGCTCGGAGCCGGGCCGAAGGGACACCAGGACAGGCCCTGGGAGGGAAGCAAAGGCTGGGTGAGGGCTGAGCGCCCATAAACACATGGGTGTGGGGGCACTGGCACAAGCAGGCATGCACAGCAGACACACAGAGACACGCAAAAGGTATGGGAGCTCCGGCCACATGCAGACGGGCACAAACCCACGGACGAGGGCACCCAGAGCGCGAATCGGGGTCTCGCGCGTGTGACCACCTGAGGAGCCTGGCTGGGCGGAGCAGCAGGGTGCGTGCCCTGGAGCAGCCCAGCTCCGCGAGCTCCGCAGGGAAGCGTTGCCCTGGCTTTGCAGGGACAGTACCACCACCCGGCCCTGCCGTCCATCCATTCACAAACTCCCCCCCGGCACGCTGGGTAGCAGGGCAGGCAGGCTCACAGAGGAGAGGGAGAAAACTGAGGCCCAGGGAGGAGGGAGACTGTCTACGGGTTACACAAAAGTGGGGTTGGGGGGGGGGTGAAGGAGAGAGAGATCCCAATCGCAGAGGCAGCAGCTGGGGTGGGGGTGGGGAGCACGCACGGCCTTCCCTGGGCTGGCCTTCACGTTGACAGGACGGGCAGGGTGAGTCAGGGCAGGCGGAGGGCAACCCAGGGCCCGGGTGGGGGCCGCTGGCTGCCTAGAGGGCCTCTGGAGAGATTGTAGAGGGGCAGGTGGGAGGCTGGGCAAAGGGTCCAGCGGAGACGACCCCGTCACTCCGCACAGCCCAGAGCTCAGTAGTTTTCTTTTTAAATATATTTTATTGATATTTATTTATTTTATTTATTTATTTTTTTTACAGAGAGAGGGATAGAGAGTTAGAAACATCGATGAGAAAGAATCATCGATCAGCTGCCTCTTGCACACCCCCTACTGGGGATGTGCCTGCAACCAAGGTACATGCCCTTGACCGGAATCGAACCTGGGACCTTTCAGTCTGCAGGCCGGCGCTCTATCCACTGAGCCAAACCGGTTTCAGCTCAGTAGTTTTCCCTGGAGCAAAATCCCTTGACTTGGAGGAATGTTCTGAGCCACTCGGGGCAAGTCCCTGCCCTTCCCGGACGCTATCCGACCGTCCCAGAGGGTGGGGACTGATGGTGAGGGACCGGTCCTCGGGGTTTCAGGAGAACGCAAATACGGTCCGAACCCCGCTCAGCCATCTGGGCCCCAGGACATGCCATTTCCCCCCACATTCGCCCGCCCGAGGCCTCCCCTGGGCTTTCCTCACCTTTATCCATCCCGCTGAGCCACTCCCTGGCCGTCAGAGAGGGCTGGGCCCCTGCCGTGGGCGGGTAGATGTCCTCTTGGTAGGATTCCGACTGCAGGAGAAGTCAGGACGGTGAGAAGAGGGGTGGTGGGGAGGCCGCCCACAGGAGGGCCCTCCGAGAGCCGGGGTCCAGGTCCTCCCCAACCCTGTGAGCTGAGAAAGCCAAGGCCTGAGAGCAAAGGGTCCTGCCCAAGGCCATCGCACAGCAACTCCAGAGCAGAGGCGAGAAAAGAGCCAGGACTCCTCCCTCCCAGGACGCCTCCCTGGCCCCGGAAAGGCCTGCCCCTCGAGGAGGTGGCCACCAGCCTCCCTGTTGCTGCCTCGGGCGTGGGCTCCAGGCTCCGGGGGTTAGTCTTCTTGGGAAGGGTTCCCGCCTCCCCGCAGACCCCCCCACCACTCTCACCCGCCGGGGGACAATCATGGAGATGGGCTCGATGAGGCTTTTGGTTGTGATCAGCTTGTAGAAGCGGAAGATCTCACAGGTGGACACGTCGAGACCTCTCTTTGGCATGAAACCTGCGGGCAGACGGTCAGTTAGGGCCACACGGTGCCGCTGGGCTGGGGCCAGAGGGGCCGGGGTACGTGGCGAAGCCAGGCTGCACCGCGGGATGTGAACAGACACCACCTGCTCCCCCCATTCTTCCCGTCAGCAAACAGCTCATGCAGGAACGCCTCCGCTGGGCCAGGCCCTGTGCCGGGGAAATGGGACTGAGACCCTCAGACCCTGGCCCCACCTTCAAGAATGTACACGATTATAGCTCGACTTCCGCAGGAAGTGTGCTCTGCTCCGGGCCCTGCCTCGCCAGCCCCCCAGCCCCTGCCCCAGACGCCGCCGCTGACAGAGCATGCCGGCTCCTTTTGCTTACTGCTAGCACGGCATCCCTTCCCCCATCCCTTTCCTCGTAACCTAGCTGTGTCTTCATGTTCAAGTGCATTTCGAGTGCACAGCGGGTAGCCGTGTCTTGTTCTTTTATCCCCAAAGACACGGGAGAAGCAGGGGCTCTCGGAGGCCAGCCGCTCCCATCTCCGCGCCGCCGTGTGACTGCGTCACCGGGCCCAGCACACCTCCGCTCCCTCCCGGGCGGTGCCCTGCCTCCTCTCCCCGTTCCCCAGATGTGGCCTCGTTCAGGAAGCCGCCCAGAGACCCTCCTGCACACCTCGAGCAGGGCTCCCAGGAGCCAGACTGTCCACCCACCATCGCCCCCCCGCCAGGGGGGCCGGAGCCTGACTCAGCCCTGTGCCCCGGGCCCGGCCCCGGGGCCCCGCGCTCACCGATCCCCTTCTGCGGGTGGTAGGAGCGGTACTCCGTCAGGTAGCTCAGGTGCGGCTTGTCGGCACTCACCTCATAGTAGCGGATGTTCCCGTCTCCCTGCGGAGGAGGGGTGTTCAGAGCCGGGGACCAGCACCCCGCAGGCCCCCCTGCCATGCAGCAGGAACCGGTGTTCACAGCAGGTAAGGAGGTGGCAAAGCCACTCACACAGGGAACGCCAGGGAGCTGTCACCCAGGCACTGGAGGGGCCTCGTTTTAACACTCTGTCCCCCCAACCATGACCCAGTGCCCACCGGGGTGGCTCCGAGGCAGAAGCTCTGGGGGCACAGGCTGGGACCTCACCCCCGTCTAAGAGCCGCACCCAAGGGCCAGAGTGGTGTGTCCTGAGACCAGCCTGTGGGTCTCACCTCCAGGAG